GTATGTATATTTTGATCTATCATTGCTCGATTGCCATTGAGCACTGTCTATTTTTATCTTATGGAATAATCATGGGTAGGGTTAGAAACAAAAAGAAATGATTCAGGAAGGCCAGTAGCTGTTTTGGGAGAGAAAGCAAGAACTCTTTTAAAATCAGTTTGAATTTTAAATAGGTGGTGTAATTAGTATAGGAAACTTAAGAAAGTTATTCCGACCCATCTTTCTTTGGTTCCATTGAATCAGTCAAAGGGAGCGTTAGCCTTTTTGTGAGACACAACTGGCACTTTCTCAAGTAAATATCGCAAATGTTACATCAGGACCAAAGACTCATAATTACAGTAGTGTTCTCCTTTTATAACTCTGAAGCAGCATCAAAAGAAAGTTAATTTTTTATCAGGACGCTAACATATGCAACATGTGGGCTTTCCTATGACTGTAGGACCTTTTCTGCCTTCATACATGTTGTTTATTCCATCAGAAATACTATGTCCTTCAATTTGCATCCTTACGAAAGTACACACAGTTTTTGGGAGTTACTTGCTCTAGGACTGCAAGTTAGGGTTATCCCGATGATTGCAAATCCACATGTTCATGGCGATTCAGTAGCCTACATGAAATCAATTTGGTCTTCAGGCCAGTTTTCAGTGAACATATTTTTACATCACAAATGACAGACAACCCTGTTGGTGGTCTTCACAGAGAGGCCAAGTGCTGCCTGCATAAAACCTGAATTACTCTGTAAACCCTCAAAATAGGCTTTCCAAATCAGGATTGACACGATTGGTGGTGTGTTATGGGGAAGTTTCCTATAGGGGTAAGAGAGTAGTTCAAAGTCCTTGCCCTTTCTTTCACTGCTCTCTCTGCTTAGAGTGACAACACCGGTTTCCTTGTACTGGTGGTTTTTCTGATGGGCATTTTTTTTTAAATTTAGAGTCTGCTTTTTGCAAATAAATTCAAATCGGAAAAGGCCAATGTTCCAGGCATTTATTTGCACCTATTTTAGCATATACTACTGCTCTGTGATGTCAGTTCCACCCTGCTCATCATGGCAGTCTGCTACTCTGATATGCTCCCAACAGGTCAGCACTGAAAATAATTTGCTTTTCCTAGTTCATCCTAATTTCAATCCCAAAGGATTTAAGATCGGAAGGATATAGTGTTCTATGCTGGTTGTGTTTTGATCTCCAGGAGCTTGCTTTGAATTGCTGCGTAACAACGTTGTTAGAATTACTAGTCCGAGCCAGAGCAATGCCAATTTATGCTCTCAACAAATGGGATCAAAATGAGAGAGCGAAAAAATGAGGATTAAACAAAATGTGGACTGTGGAAGGCATTGCAAGGTTAATGTGTAGTGAGTTTTGTTCAGCAACTTCTTATCTGTGGCATTAGTGAAATCAGTAATAGACTCTCCTTCGAAATTAAATGATGTCCATATAGCCGTGTTTAGTTCTAGGGAAACAAGCCAGTTTTTTGAGGCCATTGGATTATAAAGTCACATGCAGATAGTCTGCTGGAATGTACATTAGCTGTGCTTTCAATGAGGCACAAGACAACTGAAATACAGATAACAGCATTTCATGAACAAACATAACAAAGGAATCGCAGTGGGAAAAAATGTTCCTGTGAGAAGCTGTAGTTGTCTGGTATAAGTGGGTTTAATACCATAAAAAGGAATAGTGCTTCAACAGAACTTCATTTAGCCCATTGTATAGGTTTTGTGGGTAGTAATCCAATAGTTTTTTTAAGTTTACCATTTTTGAGAGACTACAGGTGTGAGTCCATGTCTTATGTTGGTAATTTTCAGTTTGTGGATCTGTTTTGATTTAATGTTCAGACACACAAAAATGTAATAAAAAGGAAAGCAAAAATCAGCCCAGAAAAGGCTTTGTGGGACAATCTATAAAAGTGAAGATGAACGGATCCCTTGTCAGTCTGCTCATTTAAAACAGTTTGATTGGGCCAAAGTAGCATCTTTGATTTCTGTATAGAGTAGCAACATCAGCTGCTCAGTATCTTCAAAATCTTTATAAAATGAACAATAACATGAGAAAAAAGAGAAGGTAGGTAGAGCAAAAGACATGAGCGGAAATAAAAAGGTAGTGTTATCTAGTGGTTAGATTACGGGGGCTGAGTTCTAGAACATCCAGCTTCTATGTCTAGCTTTGCCACTGAGTTACTGTGAGCAAGTCATATAACAGTTTATCCATCTGTAAACTTAGTATAATAAGTATCCATCTCTAAGGGATGTTGTTTGAATTAGTTAATGTTTTCAAACCTCTTTGGGATCCTCTGATGGAACTTTATTTTAGAATATTCTGTTCAGGTTCTTATACTGTGCTGATCATTGGGGCATTTAAACACTGTGTAAGTACAAAGTAGAGAGGCCAACAGAAGAATTAGAGGTGGGCGATATTTTAATTTGCTTGGATAATGATCACAAGTATCCGATTAATCTTTGCTCAGCAGCAAAAAAGTCCTGACCTCCACTTTCAGAAATTGGAATCAGAAGTTAATTATTTATTCTGGAGATCCAATTTGGGTTTCATGGCCTGTAGTTACTGGTATCATTGTTAATTTCATTATGGAGTTAGTGGCAATGGTGAGAGATGAATTCATTGACGTGCGTAGTAAGAGATCAACATAACCCTCAATAAAAGGAGCGGGGGCACTGTGTCTGAATCTGATAGGACAGGCTTTGAGAGCCCTTGTTTGTGTAGTGTGCAAGTACACTGCTCCCAGTGCAGAGCTCTGCCTGAAAGCCATAATATAGCTCTTAAGGCTTGTTAACACTATAGCATTTGGGTGTTGCAGCACCTACCAGGCCTGTAAAACACCTTGTGTCTGTTTCATATGCTGGATAATAACACCCAAGATTCCAGGCTTGTAAAATTCAACTGGCTCTTTATTAGGAGAACTATGTAGAGAGATGCTACAGCTAACATTCTAGCCATATGCACACAGACTGACGTCCTGGTGCTTTCTCCAGACTCTTCTCTTCTGCAACCTGGGCTCCTTCCTCCAAGTCCATACAGGTTGCTACAATACACACACACACACACACACCTTTTTTCCAACAATGCACAGGCATGCACACTACAGTCCTGACTGCTGTCTGATAGCAGCTCTTCAAATGCCATAGATTTGGGGAGATTTTACACAGAAAGCAAGGGATGACATGGCTGTCTGATTTATATGACTTTCTCCTCTTGTAATAAGGCAGGAAAGGATGTTATTGTAGGGGGAGGTCTCAGTATTGCTACCCTTACTTCTGCACTGCTGCCTTCAGAGCTGGATGGCCAGAGAGTGGCGACTGCTGACCAAGGGCCCAGCTCTGAAGGGAGCAGCGCAGAAGTAAGGGTGGCAATACCATACCATGCCATCCTTACTTCTGTGTTGCTGTTGGCGACGGTGCTGCCTTCAGAGCTCGGTGCCTGGCCAGAGGCCACCGCTCTCCAGCCACCCAGCTCTGAAGGAAGCACCACCACCAGCAGCAGTGCAGAAGTAAGGGTGGCAGTTCCGCAACCCCCCTACAATAACCTTGCAACCCCCCCCTCCCCACACACACACACAACTCCTTTTTGAGTCAGGACCCCTATAGTTACAACACCATGAAATTTCAAATTTAAATAGCTGAAATCATGAAATTTACAATTTTTAAAATCCTCTGACTAGTGAAATTGACCAAAATGGACTGTGAATTTAGTAGGGCCCTACTTGTTTCCCCCAGTGAAGCCACCAGTTTGTCTCTACCCACTTGTCAGCTCTCCCCCTGTCCTGCCACAAGTACCTCAAAGTCTTTTCTTTTCAGCAACTGCCACGATTTCCCACCCTCTGCCAAGTGCTCCCTCCTTTCATGTCCTCTCCGACTGGAGCAGGAAGGAGGAGCTGAGGGAAGGGAGGGTGCTTGCTGAAATCAGGGCCGGCTCTAACTTTTTTGCTGCCCCAAGCAAAAAACAAAAAACCAAAAAAAACCCGCCCCGCCGTAACACCCTCCCCCTGCCCAGCGCTGCCCCGCCAAACCAAAAACAACCTCCCTCCAGCGCCACCCCGCCAAACCAAAAACAACCCCCCCGACCGCCGCCCCGCCAAACCAAAACCAGAAACAACCCCACCCGAGCGCCGCCCCGCTGAACCAAAAACAACAACAACAAAAACCCCGAGTGCCGCCCCGCCAAAACAAAAAAACCCCCAAAACCCCGAGCGCCACCCCGCCGAAACAAAACAAACAAACAAAAAAACCCGAGCGCCGCCTCACCACCCCAAGTTTGGCCACCCCTTACAAGGTGCCGCCCCAAGCACGTGCTTGGTCGGCTGGTGCCTGGAGCCGGCCCTGGCTGAAATGTTGGAAAAGAAAGGAACATTGTTTCAGCCACTGACCCAACTCCCCCTGGTAGTGGTTGAAGGACTGAAATCCCTGCTGAGACCATGCTGAGGGTAGGCTCAACAGCCTGCCTCAAAACTGGGGGTTAGTAAGGTCTGGTCTAGGCTGGCGCTGCCTTAGCAATGAGAACTGGGCAAAATAATCAGGCTCAGTGGTTTTACAGAGTGAGAGAAAAAGAAAGGTACTCTTGTTGTATGTTGTCTTTCATGATAAATTTAACCATGAAAACTTCCATCTCTGCACTTGCCTGTTTCACAAGATTGTTGTCACAGTCTGGAAGTTAATACAAGGAGGAAGCCAAATTTTAAAAAAATAAATCCATGAAGAATCAGGCCATATTGAAATACAGAAGTCGTGCAGATTCTGTAATGGCTGTTCATGGCTCATTGTAAAGCTTCCAAGAGATTGGGCTGTATTTCTTTTTCAAAAAGTCTGTGTTTAAAAAAGGCACTTTGTTTCTTATCAATATTACTAGTAAGCCCCAGGATTATCAATATTGCTAGAAGCCCCAGGCCGTCTTGACAGTCTCATCTGCAGTGTTTGCTCACTCAGATGGTTCAGCAATTGCTTTGAAAGATGCCATGGTGACAAGTATTTTGTTTTTCTTCTGCTGTTACAGACCTTTACAGCTTGGTGCAATTCCCACCTCAGGAAAGCAGGCACACAGATTGAGAACATTGAAGAGGACTTCAGGAATGGCCTTAAACTGATGCTCCTCTTGGAAGTCATTTCAGGTTTGTTAGAAAGAAAATGTCTAATGCATTTAGTAAACACTGCCCCTGACTCTAGAACCTCGTAGAGATTTTGTAGTGCAAAACTATAGCAGAAGTTAATCCTTGACCTTCAGGAGGGTTAGGAGCAATCTTGTTTTCCAGTTGCATGGGACAGCAAAGCTCTAGTCTGACAAGTGATCTGTTCACTGTCCATTGGAGGAGCTGCTGACCTGTATTTAAGAATCCTGAGCAAGTTGATGGGCCACTGCATCTGACCTGAGGCTGAAAATAAAAAGTGGTTTCTCACCTCAGTTTCTTTGTAAATATTCTTGAACAGTAAAGGAAATGGATGATTTGTCCACCAGGCACTTACTGCTTTGCTAAATTCCTTTTCTGCCTCCATTCCTCCAGTTCTGAATCCTACTGCACACAATTGGGAATTGTGCGCACATTTTTGTCTCCCTCCTGCATATTCCTATTGGAAATTGTGCACCTGCCTAATTCCTACAGAAACAAAACCAGAAAATGAATAAATAAAAACCTTTGAAATAACCACATCTTCTTGTTGGACAACAAGTTCTGAGATCCTGGTTATCCTTGGACTGGCCAATTAAAAAAAAAGTTTTTTTCTTAGCCTGCCTCAGGGTGAGGTGTCATCAGTAGGAAAAAATAAGTGAATACTCTCTTAAAAGAATGAAGACTGTTAAAGATCAAAAAACTGAGCACAATGCATGAGTGAGCTTAAAGAGTTACAGATGAATACATTTTAAAACAAAGGAGCTGAAAACTGGCTCTGCTTTTCCTTACCTGCAAAGTCTGGTGTTCAAGGTTCTGTGCTTCTGAGCTGATGATGTTCCAAAGCCATACTATGACTGCAGCTGTCTGAACCATTTGGCTTTGGGTGATATCACAAACTGCTGTTGGAGGGACATGGAAGGACCAGTCCTCAGGCCCTGAAATTAAGAGTCTTTTAGTTTACCTTTCCTCTCCATGTGTAGGTCACAAATTTATTTTATTCAGTTTTTAACCCCTTAGTATGAGAACTCCAAGTTTTTTTTTCTTTTTTTTTTAATTATTGGGCAAGCTTTTCAAAAGTTGGTGCCTAAAATCAGGCTCCAAAATCCATATTTAGAGACCTTAAATAATTAGTGGCCTGATCTCCAAAACTTCTGAGCACCGAACAGTTCCTATTGACTTATTTATGCAAACCAGCTAAATCATCCATTTCCTCTGCCATTTAAAGGTGGGGAGCAGTCACCAACAGACTGTGTGATTAGCCGAGGATGCCCCTGAGAAGAGGGGATGGTTAGGAGGGGCATATTGGATGATAAAGGGAAAGGATCAAGGGAAGGAGCATTTCTAAGTCATGTTTTTGTGTGGAAGGCTTTGAATTTGTGCATGGGGGATTTATTCACATATAGTTACTCTCTTGACCATTTGAGAAGACATAGTCATGCAGCCTTTGGTACCAGACAGTTGCAACATGGCTCTGAAATTAGCCAGTCTGCCAGTGATGGATGAGGTTGGGATGAGTCCAGAGGTGGCAGGGATGCCCACAAGGTCCTGATATCTGGGATTTGGCCCCATTTAACCACACCGATCCTCAGATTCTGCATTTTTCCCAGGATACTCCTCTTCCCTCTTGTGCATCTCTGCCAATCCTGCTGTCTGATAGCAGCTGTTCAAATGCCATGGATTTGGGGAGATTTTACACAGAAAGCAAGGGATGACATGGCTGTCTGATTTATATGACTTTCTCCTCTTGTAATCAGGCAGGAAAGGATGATGAGCTATGAAGAAGGACCTGTTCACTTCCTTTTTACTTCCTTTCAACTATAAAGCAGACACTAGTAGCACAATAAAATATGAAAAGTGTATCCATTTATATACCTCTTACGTTTGGGCAAACATAACATTTTATTCAGGTTTCACTGCTGTACCAGAAGATCAAGGTAAGTCACTTCTTTGATTTTCGTGGGTTTGTTCAAAGGCACTTGGCATTCTTTCAGAAAAATACCTCCAGAATAACTGTTAGGTTTTAGAAAATGTACCACATAAATTCTGCGTTTTCTAGTCACTTCTATGTCTGTTGCCAAGTGCCTGTAAGTATAATTGCATTCGATTTGTTGTACTACAGGGGAAAGACTACCAAAACCAGACAGAGGAAAAATGCGCTTCCATAAAATTGCTAATGTCAACAAAGCCCTGGATTATATCGCCAGCAAAGGAGTGAAACTTGTGTCAATTGGTGCAGAAGGTATGTGGAAACACTTGACAATAGGCCTTGGTCTCTAGGCATACATATCCCAAAGAAGCTAAACAGCAGAGCTCAGGGGCCAAATTGTCCTGGCGCCTCCTTGGCCATGGAAAGCCAAGGCCCCCGATGCATCTTGATGGTTTCTCTGCAGAGGTGGGAAGACAAGAATTGGAAAGGTTTTGGGTGTGGGGAGATGTGGGTTGTGGAACGGCCAGGGCCGGCTCCAGGCACCAGGCACCCAAGCTGGTGCTTGGGGCGGCACCTGGAGGGGGGTGGCGCGGCGCTCCGGCCGCCGGGGAGAGCGGGGCCACAGCCGGGCTCGCCGCCCTCGCCTCGGCGCTCTGGCCGCCCTCCCCCCCCCCTCGCCCTCCCCCCGGCCGCCGGGGGGAGAGCTGAGCCCCAGCCGGGGCTCGCCGCCCTCTCGCCGCCCTGCCCCCTGCGCTCTGGCCGCCGGGGGGAGAGCCGAGCCCCCGCCGGGGCTCGCCGCCCTGCCCCCGGCGCTCCTCCCAGGGCTCCGGCCGCCCTCCCCTCCGGCGCCCTCCCCCCGGCCGCCGGGGGGAGAGCGGAGCCCCCGCCGGGGCTCGCCACCCTCGCCCCGGGGCTCCGGCCGCCCTCCCCCCCCGGCGCCCTCCCCCCGGCCGCCGGGGGGGGCCGGAGGCTTTTTTGCCTGGGGCGGCAAAAAAGCCAGAGCCGGCCCTGGGAACGGCTTGATGACTCTAGAATTTGCTTCTCTCCATGGTTAAGTTTAATGGTCTATAATTTCTTAGTGTCTGCCCATTCCTTTTCCTAAAGATTAGGACAACATTTGGTTCTTTCAGTGCCTTCTTTTATTCCAACATGCTATTAAAAACCAGTAACTTTAGAAATCAGATAGGAGTCTAGAATGTACCTCAGAAAGCCTTGGATCTTTGTTTATCTCTTTAGTGAGTATAATATATAGCAGACTTCTTTTGATGTAATTGCTTGGGGGTTGAGACCTATTCCCATATTGTTACCATGATGACTGTACACAGTTACTACATTTTTAAGACCAAGGTTCAACATTCTAGATGCAGTTAAAAGAGTGGACAATGGAAAAAGTGGCGGCTGGAGCTGGTTGGATACTGAACCCAAGAATGAAGTGGAACTGGATGTAGCATAGTGACATGATTATTTTGTTGTTCTGCTCCAAATAATCACTGTAATTACATTAAAATGCACGACTGGCTGGTTGGATTTCGAGAAACATAATCTGACTGCTGAAATAAGCAGGATCTCACAGCAGGTGGGATTTGCCAAATGCAGCTTCCCATTGACTCCAATTCAGCATCTAGACAGTACAGTGATTTGTGCTGTCTAAATTAGATCGATACATGGTTCCCACCCTTGATCTAGTTGCTCCACCCCCATGTTTTTATCCTTACTCCAGCCTCCAACCCTTCTCCTCAGGGGGCTTAGTGTGGGGGGGAGGGTAACTGGATTAGAGAGAGGAAGGATATTTAGGTAGGAGTGAGTGGGGGAACAACCTTCATGGCTTCAGAGGCAATAGCGCCAATTAGGTGAGGTTCGGGGGGTGGGGCGAATATTTTCCCTAAGGTTTTTGCACTTGCTCAAAGTTCCATAGGCCATATAGCTGGTGGGGGGTGAGCTATGGCCTGACCACTTTTAAGCCACGGTCCTATACTAAATCAGTACGGCTGCTGCTGGAGCATCATTCAGATTTGGCCAAGCTGCCCCTCCATTCAGATGGAGGAGCAGCTGGGCCAAATGGTGTTGCAACTGGGCGTATAGGGTAACTGTTCCTGTACGACAGAGCACAGGAGAGTCCATCAAGAACTTGACTCCTGGTGGCACTGGCTCATACACTATGTGGGTCAGAGACAAGGACACCTGGGGTCCCTGTGATGGGGGGAGGGGAGATAAACAGGGACTGGAAACGGGTCCCTGCCAGTGTGTGTGTGTGTGTGTGTGGGAGGGACATGGAATTCCTCCCCCACCAAAGAAATATCTGAATTGGGGCCATAGTTCAGAGGTATAGTTAAGGTTTGGATTGGTGTTCATTTAATCTGTTATAAACAGGTGTCATTTGCCAAATTCAGATCCAGATTTAGGTTCAGATTTCCAGCAGCATCAGAGAACGGATGTGTCAAAGCTGAGTTTTTGGTGGACTCTACTCTGACTTAGATTAGACTGAACTGCATGGGTGCTTAGATGTGTGTGTAGCTGGCTTGTGCTTTTAAAATATTGATTTTAATTGGTCATCTTTGGGTATTTGTGGTTTGGCAGTCTCTCCCCAAATCAAAGCTAATATCAAAGTGCTGCTTTAATTAATGTTTTGCTGTTCTTCAGCTACTGAATAGAACAAGGAGAGCAAGGTGGACAAACTATGCAGCAGAAATGGGGGGGGGGGGGAAGTGACACCGCCCCCCCAGTAATACTCTAGAATTGTGCTATTCTGAGAGCAATATTGTATTCTATGGACAGCAGAGGGCATCAAAGAGACAATTTACATGTGGAAATAGAAATCAAGCGTAAGGCAGACTGTTTGCAGACCTGGTACAGAAATACTGAACAAACAGACCAAAGTTAGAATTAAAATGGATCAAACAAATGGTCTGGCGAGTAATGCATTTCACTGTCACATGGGAATCTTAAATTCACTGGCTGAGATGAAGATTACTCTACCTGATAATATTTTATACATATGGACCAAGATTTTCTAGGTGCTTATTGTTAGGCTCCTAAATCCATAATTAGGGACTTAAAGAAGCTCCCAGGGATCTCTCATTGATTTGTGGGAGCTGCTGGGTGCACAACACTTCTGAAAATCAGGTCACTTATTTAGATCTCTAAGTATGGACTTAAAGCAAGGCTCCTAAGTACCCATTCTTTAGGATATTGACCCCTGTATATACTATTTTCCACATGAAGATCTCAAACATACATGAATGAATGAATGAATTTATCCTTACAATACCCCTGTGAGGTAAATTATCAGCCCTGTTTTACTGACGGGAAAATTGAAGCACAGAAAGGTTAATTGGGCCTTAATGTAAATGAGAAGCAGGTCCGGGCCGAGGAGTCTGTAGATCTAGGTTATGTTCCCAGCTTTGTTGCAGACTTCTTGTGTAACATTGGGCAAGTCGCTTAACTTTTGTGCTTCAGATTCCTCGTCTGTAAAATGGGAGATAATAGTTGCAAAGCTTGATTCATTATTGTTTGGAAAGCTTTTTAGATTCTTGGGTGGAAGGTACAAAAGAAAAGCCAAGTATTATCATTATTATTTATTATAATAATATAATAATAATATTTATTTTGACACAAAGAGGAACATATAAATTAAAACAGGTCAAATAGTAGTGCTTCAGCTATGGCTACTGGTGGCTGTAAGTCACCTAATCTTGCATAAACATTTTTGGGATGCCTTTTAATTTCCAAACTGTGAAGTCACTGTCTCTACATCTGTTGAGGATCATGTTTAATTTTCTGACACTCTGAGCAATGAAGAGTCTGTAGTGATCCTAGTGCCACCAACTGTGATTTAAACCAGAGGCCCAGAATAAAGATTAAACCACTAGTCCTGTGGAGCTCTAGTGCAAAGTTCTATTTAATGTATTTATGAGTTGTCTCTATTCAGTAAATCTGTGGTGTTCATAGCCCAGGAAATGGCCAATCACTGTTTTTGTTTGTTTTGTTTTTGGGTTGGTGTGACCGGGGTCTTTGTGGGGAGCCAGCTATGGTCACTCAATTAGGGTGAACTGAAAAGAATGGGCAGCCATTTATCCCTTCTCCATCTTCTTCTCCCCAGAATAATTATGGATGTAGTTTAGCTTATGTTGGGTTTTGAGATGAATTGAAAGGTAGGGGCTGCAGTTCTCCCAAAGTACCCAGGCAATGAAAACACAAATATGAGAGTTATTCTGGGGATAATGTCCCTGATGGCCTATAGAGGAGGGAGAAAGGAATGAATCAAAGTATGCTTTAATCACTTTCAGCAGTTTAGCAGCTTTGTTCTCCTTGCTTTTTGGTATTTTTTCAATGTATGTCAGATATGTTTTGGCTGTTTCATACAATGTTTTAGCTAAGCAGACTGAGGAGCTGAAGCATCTACTTTATTGCTGGCAAATAACTTGAAAGTTCTGTCAAGAGCCCTTGGAACAGCGGGATTGTAGACGCCAGTCAGAATAGCAAGATTTGTATATTTGCAGTGTAGCTGTTATGAAATAATCACACAGGCCCGGATCCACAAAATTGTTTAGACTCCTGACTTCCATTGGTTTCAATTGGTTTAGGAGCCTAAATACGTTTGCAGATCTGGAACGCAGTGATTATGCAAATACACTAATTGGCTGACAATCTGCATGCCCCATGAGTATTGCAATCCAGATATTGTACAGTTTGAGAAATGACTGTATAGTGATTAGTACATCAGACATCCACAACCAATCAAAGTGCAAGGAAATGCGTATGTGAGGAAAAAACAATTGAGATATGCACCAGTTACTATTAAATCTCCTCTGATTGATAAAGAAAGTTCAGTTTTGGTATAATTCCTGGTAAACTTCAGGAGGGCCGTGATCCTCCAGGGCCTACATGGAGTCCTGAGAAGAGAGATGTAAATCTTGGAAAAATTAGGTGGAACCCCCTCAGAGTGAAGAGGAAAAATGAGAAACCAGTTATCTTCTTAACTCTGATTATTGCACTATAAAAATAAACGTTACAATGCAGGAGCACCGGAACAGAGAGATCCAGGGGTCCCTGGCCGCCCCACTTTTAAAAGTGGGAGGGCTGTGCTCTTTCACTTTTTACTGGCTGTAAGGGTGAGCGATGCAGGGGAGGGGTTGGAGAGGAGTGAGCGGAGGGCAGGGCCTCCAGGAGAAGGGGCGGCATGAGACTGGGGCCTCGGTTTGGGTGCCAGTGGTCCCCCCACTATTAGGGACCTTCTGCTTCTCCTGTTACAATGTCACTATGCTGGGGTTTACCTTGGAAGTTACTTCCACAAACCGCATGGAAAGAGGGAGAAAATCCTCTGATTGGGTTGCAAATTTTGTTGTGGGTCAGCTGAAATAGTATTGGTGTCTTGAATCACGTTCAAACATCAGGGATAAAAAATGCCATTGAAATTACTCATGTAATGTGTGTATTGCCAGTATATATTTAGAAGAATGTGACTTAAACTATAGCTGAATGTTAATCTTTAGTAACAAATCAGTGTACATACACAAGGTGCTTTTTAAAAAATTCCTTATAATTTGGCCAAACCAAATTGAATTTTCATCAGACAACCAAAAGGTGCACATGTAACCTATGGCCAAGTTTTCAAGTACTCAGCAACAAGCAGCTTTCATTGTTCTCAATGGGCGCTGCTGCCTGTTGATCACTTTTGAAAATCTGATCCTACCTAAGGACAATGGGTAAAATTTTCAAACCTGTCTAAAGCTTAGGAGCCGAAGTCCCATTTTCTGAAGTCTTATTGAAAAATCAATGGAACTTAGGCTCCAAAGTGCCAAAATCACTTTTGAAAATGGAACTTTGGCTCCTAAGTCATTTAGGCACTTAAAAAAATTTACCCCCATCTCTAGGTCAGATTTGAAGTTTGTACCCCACTAATGCATGAGAGCTGTTAAAAAATGCAAAAAATTGTTCACTTGCTTTGTACTTGAAAACAGCAAGACTGATTTTGCTCAAACTTTAGTGCTTGTCTACCTGGATAGCTATTCTGGAATAGTTATTCCTGATTAACTCCATGTGTGGATGCTCTTATTCTGGAGTAAGAGTGCAGAATAAGGCCTTGTCTACACTACTGCGGTAAGTCGACCCAAGTTACACTTGAATAACGTAACTGGAGTCGATGTAGCTTAGGTCAATTTACTGCAGTGTCTACACTGTGTTGCGTCGATGGAAGACATTCTCCCGTTGACTTACCTTACTCTTCTCTTTCCGGTGGAGTACTGGAGTCGACCAGAGAGTGCTCTGCCATCAATTTAGTGGGTCTTCACTAGACCCGCTAAATCGACACCCTTGCAGCAGAGCCGATCTACCGGTAAGAATAGACACTGGCCTAAGAGTGTGAACACATGGAGTTAATCAGGAACAGTTAATCCTTTTTAAATTCACACACTAATTTATTCCAGATTCATTTTTAAGTGTAGACAAGCCTGTAGAGAAATATTTTCTGTTTAGTCTCTACCTAAGGGAAAAAAAGTCAGTCTGAATGGTGAAAGTTTGAGAAAATCAGAATCAATTGAACAAAGCCCTTCAGTATAGAAGTGGCGACCTTAGCTATAAGTAATTTTCAAGCCTACTTAGCCTAAGCAGAACCATGAGTTTGTTGAAAAAACAACTAGAAGAAATTCTGTGTAGGTTAAGAATTACAAAACTTGCAGTATAACATATGTGCAGGATGAAAGTAAGAAGACGCATTGCAAACTGTACTTTGTAAATTCTGGTTTCCTTTTTTTATCTTAGAAATTGTTGATGGCAATGTGAAAATGACCCTGGGTATGATATGGACCATCATTCTTCGCTTTGCTATTCAGGACATTTCAGTAGAAGGTAAGAATATACCCCTGGACATCCTAAAATAGTTAGGGCAAAGCACGTCAACCTGAGTTGACATTAAAATTAAGTAAAAAATCTATTTTAGTCAGATTGCTGGATCGCTGTGTAGTGGTGCAACATCCGATTTACAAGACTGTTTGTCTGCCTGAGCTTGCTGATCTGCCAGCTTCCATATGCAACCCAGGTCTGGTCTACACTAGAGAGTTAGGTCGAATTCTGCTGCCTCCACACATCAAGCCATAGCTTAATCTTTGCCTCTTCACTGTACACTTTTGCCAGCTCTCTGAACTTCCTGCCTTCTGGAGCAAGCATCTAGTATCTGTCCACTTCTCCACCTCTTTGCAAATCTGACCTGAGTATCTATGTTTTTTTCCTTTCCTAAGTTGTCTACCTGAGCTCCTTTTCATTCTGTCTTTTTCTCTCTGGTGTCCTTTACAGAGACTTCCGCCAAAGAAGGTCTGCTGCTGTGGTGTCAAAGGAAAACTGCTCCTTACAGAAATGTGAACATTCAGAACTTCCATCTTAGGTAAGATCACCTTATTTCAAGGGATAAAGTATAAGTGTTTGGTATCAGATTCTGCTCCCAGTTGTGCAGATGTAACTAAGAGCATAATTTGGCCCTTAATGTTTAAACTGGTGTATACTGGCTCATTCAATGTATGGAGAAAAAAGTTTTTATCGACAGAACCCTGACGTAAGTTCAAGTTTATATTCAAAGTATAGATTATGCTATCTTCAGTTCTTGTTTTACAGAGTAGGTTCCAGACTGTTTTATTATTGCATGTATCTTTGGTTAGGGAACAGGTTTTCTTAAAATAATTGATGCTTATTTTGATTGAAGTTTACCTTTTGGATGACAGAAGTTTTTATGTGTAACACATTTATTGAAGCTTTATCTAGGAATTGTCTTTGCTTGTACATTTTGAAGTCAGGTTAATAGAACCTCTAAAAGCTTTTAGTATTACAAAAGTCTTGTACAGTATAAGGCTCCAGTCCTACAAATTGCTGTACACAAGTTGATCCCTGTGCCCATGCAGAGTCCAGTTGGTCCACCAGAATGGAGTATCTTGCAGGATCAGGGCCTATGTCTGTAAATTAGTTTTGACATGATCCCTAAACAGATTTAAGTGATGGCTCCATTATTGTCTCTGGGATCATTGTTACAAGGTCTGATCCGGAGAAATACTGAGCATCTGAAACTTCCACTGAAGACAGAGGGAAGTGCAGGTGCTCAGCAACGTTCAGAATGAGACCCATGAGATAGAGAAAGTGTTTAAATAAATTAAGCTTTTTTTCTGTTGCTACTGTATGTTCCATTGAGAAAAGCCCAGTTGTGGTGTTATCATTGCATGATATAAGTGACATTGAAAAAGACTCTTGGACAAGCAGGTTCTGTTAGCCGAGTCTTCACGGGTTCATTCATCTCTTGATATGCATGTGACCATAAATAGATTGGAGGGTTATGCACATGCATTGAAAGCAGAACCTATATCCTCTTTTGTCCTGGAGCATCACAGAAGCTAACCAGTTTCTACTCAGGTCGCATTTTACATAACATACACTGTGTAAAGACGACTGTAGGGCAATCAGGAATATATGGGTTATAGAAGAGTGAGTATACAGACTACTAACAGAACCACACAGTGAGGGTGGACCCATGAGATTTAATTATCTGGATGCAACATGGGCCTTCATGCATGTAGCAAAACATTAAGCGAGGGTCAAACTGTCCAATGTAATGATTGTATTAACTTATTTTTCCATTTTATTTTCTATTGTTTGTTGTAAAGCTGGAAAGACGGCCTAGCACTCTGTGCACTTATCCACAGACACCGACCTGATCTTATTGACTACTCCAAGCTAAATAAGGTCATCAGTCTGGGTGACACAGCATGCTGATCTGCAGTGATCTGGTTCACTTCCTATTTGCTTAGCATGTTTCCTTAAGGATGAGCTGAGAAGTGCATACTAACTTTGGTCTGGTCTACGCTGCGGGGGGGGAAGGGTCGATCTAAGTTACGCAACTTCAAGTCGACGTACTTAGATCTACTCACCGCAGTGTCACTGCGGTGAGTCGACTGCTGACACTCCCCCATCGACTCCGCCTGCGCCTCTCGCTCCAGTGGAGTACCGGAGTCGACGGGAGAGCGCTCGGCGGTCGATTTATCGTGTCTAGATTAGATGTGATAAATCGACCCCCGCTGAATCGATCGCTGCCTGTCGATCCAGCAGGTAATGTAGACAAGCCCTCTGACTGACTTTCCAGGCTCCTGACAAAACTGATTCTGAGGAAGAAGGACACTCCCTCCTCTACCTCCTCCCTTCCACCTCCCCCTACCCCACTTCAGCAGCTAACGTTACATATACTTGGCCTGATTCTCCACTGCTTTGCATCTTGGGAACTCATTTATACAGTGCAAAGTGGGTGTAAAATTCTAATAAAACAGAATTCCCCTATCATGCTGGTGGTAATGTTTTACACCCACTTTGCATTGGTGTAAAGGTAAGCACAAAGCAATATAGTAGAGGTTCTCAACCTTTTTTTTTCTGAGCCACCCCTTGCCCTGAAACCTGCTCGTGGCCCTGCAGTGGGCCCCGGACCCCTGGTTGAGAATTACTGCAATAGAGAATCATGCCCATAGTAATGACTAAAGATACAATTCTGCAGCGCAAATTCTGCCCTTGGATATGGGTAATAAATTACTTATAGCAGGAAAGAACAAGACTTACAAATTAAAATTCACAAAGAAAATATTAATTTCTTGTTACTTTGTTTTTAACAGAATTCCACCAATGTCCCCTATAAGCATAAACATCATAGTGCCCTAACGTCACTAGGTTACAGAAAAAGGGGAGTACTGGCTAGTTATTCTCACAATGGGTCTGATCATAGCAGAACAGAGGGAGCAAATGGGGCCTGATTGTGTTGCTGTTGAAATTGGTGGCTTTACTAGTTTAGAAAGTCTTCAAAAGAAAATAAATTAAAAATCTCATCTATCGGGGTCATGAATAACTATGTTAGGGGGTGTGAGGATGAGGGGCAATCACGTGCCTCAGATTTGCCAGATTGTAACAGATGAACAATGCTAGAAAAGAAAGAGGAATACAGTAGTTTCATCCCAGTTTGTGGGGATTTACCGTTAATTTCCTGTGCTCTAAAATGAGAATACAACTAGAAGTCTCCTTCAGCGCCAGCCAGGGAGAAGACTTCATCGGCATGTGTGCAGTGCTCCAAAAGATCCATGACACGTTTGCGGCTGGCCCAGATCAGCTGGTTTGGACTGCAGGGCTAAAAATTGCAGTGTTAGCCCCGCAACCTGAGCCCTGACAGCCCAAGTCAATTTATCCAGGCTCTGAGACTTGGAGGAGTGGGTTTTTTATTGCAGTGTAAACATACCCCATCATTGTCTTAACTTGCTAGATGCTACCAAACACTTCTCATTTGGGAAAGAGACTGTTAAATCATAGATTGGATTCTTCGTTCCCTGCTCCCCATAGTAAATAGATTCTACAAAGGAATTGACTGTTATGGGAAAGCTTTGAAGAAAAAAAGAACTAAAATGAAATGATTTATAAAGCTAGTTCTTTTTTATAAGTATTAAAAAGTTATGCTGGGGCCTACGAGGCGCATAATAATAAATAGTCAATCGATTTATAATGCTAACTTTAACTCCTACAGTATTAATCTGAACACTAAGACATTTGGAAAGTATTAATTTTGAGCTCAGTCCTACTCTTCTTACTTAGGTGAGTACAAGGAGCAGGATTTGGTATTTCATCTTATTTATGGTTAATGATTTTGACAGCTGTTTGCCCCCCTATTTGTTCTTTACAGTGCTCCTAGAACAATTCTACCCCAATTACAAATCTAAACCAAAATGTCAAAATTGCCAACCAGCAATTTTTTTTTATGCACAAACATACCCACTATGTAAACAGACAGCCTGTTTGTGCATTAAAAAGTACTTATGCATAACAGATGCTAACTTTCTGGAAGGCCTGCTGAAACTTTGACCCACAGTGTACAAAACTTCCATAGTAAAACCATCTTATTTATGTATGTGTGGTGGGAAGATAGAACAGAACTCAAACAAATGTGCCTTGATGAGACTGCCATGGCAATAACGTGCAGAAAGATCCTAACATTGGGCTTGTTTCCTGTCCTGGCTGTGTTTGACTGGCTACTTGTTTTCGGTGTATTAACAACTGTCTTGGTGTTTTTTCTTTTCGCATATCTGTTTCTCCTGCATGCCTTCTTTTCTTTTCTCATCTATGCATCTTGTGTGGACTTCTTGTAGCTGGAAGGATGGCCTGGCTCTCAGTGCCCTTATCCATAGACACAGGCCTGATCTTCTTGACTATGACAAGTTAGATGAGGTATTTCTATAGCCGCAACAGAGGTTTTTAACTACTGTGGCTTGTAGCTTTATTTTACGGTATGGGTGATGGATGTCTCCCAGCATCTCAGGATTCACTATAATTTTAAACAGATCTTCTCCCAAATCTTCAGAGCTTTGATCAATCATTGATTTAACAACGAACATACCAATGGGGGGTGTCTATCACTCATCTATAAGAAAAGTATCTCAAATTAGTCAATAGGTTTCACTTAGATTTAGTCTGGTTTTTATATGTATTTCGTATCTGTAACATAGTTTTTGTACATGCCATTAACCCATGTTGTATATACATGGTGTTGCATGTACATAAATATATATCCACAAATGAAGTTCCATAGACTTTAAATATTGGCCACATTTTAAGTTCCTTTTAATTGAAATGATGCAGTTGATATAACCTACTAAATGAAATACACTTGATAGTAAATTTAGAAAATGCAGCTATTGTGTATAATAATATACAAATGAGCCAAAATCTTTTGGCTAGGCAAAAGCAAACTGTGCTTCATAACATATTGTTTTTAAAATTGACTGATTAGTATGATATATATTTGCTAGAAAGAGGTACCATTGGGAACACTACTTATGTTTTGGAAACACATGCATAATATGCAGAAAATTAAATACTTCATATTCAGAAGAGGTGTGAAGTACAGACTTCTATGAAACTTGGAATAATCACTGTCAGTTAAATCTCACTATTTTCACTGATTTAACAAAAAAAATCAAGCCCACTTGAGACATCAAGACCCCTCTCTAGGATAGCAGTTCTATCCCACCGTGAGACCTGGATACTGCCTGCAAGGAACAGATCTATCTACTGGGAGAACCTGTGTCTCTTCTAAAGACAAGGTCTTCCACCAGTAATGGCATTTTCAGAAGCCAAGACCTCTCACAAAGAGTGTTTTCACCCTAATGTGAAACACTGAGGGTATGTCTACACTTCAAAGTAAAACCTGCAGCACCAAGGCCTGGTCTACATTCGGGGGGGGGAGGGGGGAGCGGGAATTGATCTAAGCTACGCAACTTCAACTACGTGAATAATGTCGCTGAAGTCGATGTACTTAGACCTACTCACCGTGGTGTCTTCACTGTGGTGAGTCGACTGCTGCCGCTCCCCTGTCGACTCTGCCTGTGCCTCTCATGGCAGTGGAGTACAGGAGTCGACGGGAGAGCTCTCGGGGATCAATTTATCGCGTCTAGACTAGATGCGATAAATCGATCCCCGCTGGATCGATCGCTGCCCACCGATCCGATGGGTAGTGTAGACATACCCTGAGTCACAGAGGCTGGGTCAATTGACTTGGTCTCACAGGGCTTAGGCAGCAGGGCTAAAAATAGGAATTCCTGCTTGGGCTGGAACCAGGGCTCTGAAACCTGGTGAGGGGGAGGGTCTCAGAGCCCATGCTCCAGCCCACGTGGGAACATCTAGACTGCTTTTTTAGCCCTGCAGTCTGAGCCCCGTTAACCTGAGACTTGATGCCACCAGTTTTTCTTTGCAATATGAGATATCAAAGCAGCGTAAGGAGCATGTTCCCCTAATTTGAGACAGTAAGCCCAACAGTAATCATCACCTATAATTTGAGACATTGAATGTATGCTTCTGATTTGGGGTTCACTTATTGTTCCCCTTCCTTTTTCTTCAAAAAACAAAAAGGAAACCATTGGCTTGATCCATAGGAGCTGTAGGTTCTCAGCACCTTTGAAAGCCATGTTATATGTACATGCACAATAAAAACAAGTCATATCCAAACCAAGATCTAAAGGTGTTACTCATTCAGAACAGTAGCTTAGATTTCAGGAGGGTTCCTACGCCTGAAGTGGCTTCTCTGTGCATTTCTGAGACTAGTTGTTCTTGTTTTTCTGTGCTTGTTCATCATTATATGTGAGCTTGACCAGTAGTCAGCTTATGAGCTTGCTAGAATTCACGTCTCTGTGCTATTCTGCATATATGTTGGATTTTCATCATAGTATATGTGTATATTGAATACATAATGTTTGTGTCCCCGCAGAACAAATTAACAATGGATATCTAATCGTATCTCATAGCTTATTAATGTTTTCTCTTGAAAAGATAGAAACACATTATATATATGCACGTGCGTGTGTACACATGCATAGACTCACTCACTCACTCTATATCAGGGGTTCTCAAACTTCATTGCACTGTGACCCCCTTCTGATAACAAAAATTACTACATGACCCCAGGAGGGGGGACCAAAGCCTGAACCCGCCTGAGTCCCACCACCCTAGGTTGGGGCTGGGGTGGGGTAGCAAAGCCCGAGCCCCACCGCCTTGGGCCGGGGAGTGGCAAAGCCGTAGACCCAGGGCTTCAGCCCAAGGCAGGGAGCCTGTAACCTGAGCCCCAACGCTTTGGCTCTGGGCAGTGCGATTCGGGCTTCAGCTTCAGCCCCAGGCCACAGCAAGTCTAAGCCAGCCCTGGCATCCCCATTAAAATGGGGTCCTGATCCACAGTTTGAGAACTGCTGCTCTATATCTATGAGCTCAGCTTTTTGGAAAGCACTAATTATGACTCATTTCCAGTGAGGAAAATCTAGTCTTTGGATCAGGCAGAATAATCTTCAATATACATACTGTACCCTTCTTCTTGCTATGAGAAAAACATCTGGTGTTTAACTGGTTCTAATTTTTGCTTTCATGCAGGATGACCCTCTAAGAAATATTAACCTTGCAATGGAAATTGCAGAAAAACATCTGGATATCCCTAAGATGCTGGATGCAGAAGGTGGGAGCTAAAATTTATTATGTACCTTGAATAAGAAGTAGGAGGTAAAACCTGTCACCTTGTACATAATTTTTTTCAAGATTGTTTATACATGAATCATCACAATGATGCCTCTTTCTTATGGTTCCTTTTCAAATTATTCCTCCTTTTTAGTTTCTTGTGTGCTGGAGAATTTCACACTTTTTTGTTTTGTTAAATATTATTATTTATTATTTGTATTGCAGTAGCACTGAGGGTCCCAATCTTAGATCAGGATCCCATTGTGCTAGGAGTTATACAAACAGAACAAAAAGACAGTCCCTGCCCCAAAGAGCTTAAAAGCTAACTGTAACACAAGGTGGTGCACAGATGTTAACAGTTTAAAAACACATGAACATTGTATACTGCTGAAATCAAGACTTTAAAAGGAGAACTATAGCTAATATAGTCCTTCCCAAATATACAGCTGGTAACATGTGCCACCCATGCTGGAAGCTGAAGTTGAGGAAATTACTGTTGTTTAAAACAACAACAACAAAACTTTATTTGTATTTTTTCCGAACGATCAGTTTTAATCATTAGTCCCATACCTGAGTCCTTTAAAAAGACTTCAGAGTCTTTCTATAAACAATATTAATATGATGTTAAAGTAACTCTTGGAGCTAACTAATCTTCTGTAGTTTGGGCATGCATGGAACCAAAATATGAAAATTTGCTACTTTAAATATATTAATTCTGATCTGGTATCTTGTCAGTTGACTGGTCTCAAAGGGTGGAATGTTCCCAAGCACTCAGTCTTGGCCTGCCTGCTCCCATTGAAATAAATGGCAGTAGAGTTAGTACTGGGTGCTTTTGAAAACCCCACCTAAATCACTCAGTGATTTCTAGCATTGATTTCATGTTTCCAAATTCATTCTCTCTTTGTTCCTGGAAATCTGACTCCTGTTTTAAGCAACACCTTGTCCTTCTTACTGTAAACTAAGATGCAAGGTAATTATTCAACATATCTACCATCTCCTTATTCATAGATATGAATGTCCATTACCATTTTCCTTTTTGTTCAGCTTCCTTAAATATTGTATTCCATATCCTGCCATTTTACACCTTAAAAGAAAAAAGATACTTTATTAGAATAATCATTAATATGTGAAATCATCCAAATGTGTGCTGTCCGCTTTTATTTCAATTTTCAGATTCTTTTAATATATCCTTTTCAAAAGTTCATTCTTAACCCCTGTAAAATAAAAGAAACTGATGCTGAATTATGAAATATATTGATTATTATGTTATAAAATCCTACAGCTAACTTTAGAAATTTTATCTGCTTTCCCTGGTCATCTCTCCAACCCTACTACGGGCATTTTTGCATTGGTGCTAATGCCATTCAAAAAGCCTCTTCACTGATAATCAGTATGAAGTGCTTGGTCACGTTCTGCCCTTATCTGTTGTAGAGTGTTAAAGAGACCATCATTGTCAATATGCCCAAACTTCAGTCATATCCTAACTGGCATTCTAGTTATTTTCTCCCATAATAATGAAAAACCCATCAGCCTTCCAAGATAAGAGGCTAAACTCTGTTATGATTTATGTTGAGGTTAACTGAAAATAGAATCTGGCTCAAAGGATGCAAAACTGTTAAAAATCAAAGCTTTTCTGAGTGCTAGATTTATTCTGGATCACAGTAGCACATGTATGCCTGTTTTGCAGGTTTTGGATATAGTTCAATACTCTGCTACTCGTGAGAACATAGAGCAGGGCAGGCAGAATATAGGGACACAGTTTTAACATGCTTTACATGCACTTCTATATCCATAACTAAGTTACTAGGCCAAACTCTACTTAAATTCACACATGGTTAACTCTGGAGTAAGTCTAGTGACTTAAATGAAGTTACTCTGGATTTACGTAAGTGTAAATGAAAGCAGAATTGATCCCAGGAGGTCTGCGTCTGCCAGCCTTCCCCAATAGCTCTTGAAAATTGGATCTTGTACAAAACAGTGCAGTGTGGCAATGCTATTTCTGTACATCCTAGATATTCGGATATTTTAAACATTTCAAGTAGAGCAATTCGTTCATTTATTGATTCCTAAAGTCTGATCAGCATTGATATGGTGAATGAAAGCAAGCGGAATGACCTTGAGTTTTGTTGTTGTTGTTTTTTTAAATCCTTGCAGCATGTGAGGTGGAATCATCATCAGATGGAAGTATATCGCCATTAGACTATCTGAGCAGTTAACCTTCTTCTTTCTACACAGATGTAGTAAACACTGCCAGCCCTGATGAAAGAGCCATTATGACTTATGTTTCCTGTTACTACCATGCATTTGCGGGTGCTCAGAAGGTGAGGTTGTAAAAGATGGATCAGATCTCGCCCTTCACCTTCTGTGGGATTTTTTTAGCGTTTTTTCTCTTCTGATCTTTCCCCCGCTAGTTACTAGGGGAGCACCCTAGAGCTGAGCAAGACCTCATTTCCTTTTGCCTAATTTTCTCTGTGCACTACTGTCTCTGTATAGTCAATAGAAGTTTAGCCATTTGTTTGTTTTCCAGAAACATATTTTTCTGTATCTTTACTAGTAGTATCAAGTAGGATCTCAACAGTTGGTTACTGAACTGGATAGCAGACATACTTCCCTCTAATTGAAACCTCTGTGCATTGACTTGAATCAACGTTTAAAGAGCAAGATGAAAATAACAAACTCAGACGGAAAAAAGAGATCCTAACAGCAGTCATATTAACTCCACCACCATGCCAGAGACCCTGGATATTATTCATGCTGTAGATGTCAAAAATATAGCAGAATCTCAGAAAATACATCCCAGTTTTATGTTTTCAGGATTTTTTTTAAGTGTTAGCATTTTAATGTATGTACAAATGCACAGCAGCATAAGACATTTATTATATGTGATGCAGACACAAATATCATATACAGACATCTAGGTAGAAATCTGGAATTGTATCTCAGCAAATAGAAGCAAAAAAATAAATACAGTAGAATCTCAGAGTTAGGAACACCAGAGTTAGAAACTGATCGGTCAATCACACACCTCATTTGGAACTGGAAGTACGCAATCAGGCAGCAGAGACAAAAAAATCAAAAAGCAAATACTGTACAGTACGGTACTGTGTTAAACGTAAACTACTAAAAAATAAAGGGAAGTTTAAAAAAAAAGATTTGACAAGGTAAGGAAACTATTTCTGTGTTTGTTTCATTTCAATTAAGATGGTTAAAAGCAGCATTTTTCTTCTGCACAGTAAAGTTTCAAAGCTGTATTAAGTCAATGTTCAGCTGTAAACTTTTGAAAGAACCACCATAACAATTTGTTCAGAGTTATGAATATTTCAGAGTTATGAACAACCTCCATTCCCCAGGTGTTCATAACTCTGAGGTTCTACTGTAAAGAGAAACTCAGAATTGGACACAGTTCAAGTGTCACATGCTCACTCTAGGAATACTGATATATAGTATTAAAAAGCTAACAGATGCTTTTGCAAGCTTGAGCTACTCTTCTGTAGAGAGGTTCTTCCCAGGTCAAAAGAGCTAAAATTCTGTGAGTTATCTAGCTTGTCTTTTACATATCTTAGTTGACAGGGCAGATTTTAAATTGTTAAATGTGAGCCCAATCCTGCAGCCTTTACTGTTGTGAGTAATCCTTATGCACGCAGGTGGTCTCACTGAAGTTAATGGGCTTACTCCTGTGAGTTACAGTGCATGAATAAGGGTGCAAGATCCAGCCTTCCGCAAAGAAAAAAAATTCCACTTCATTGTCTGCAAGACCTCAGTTTGAGTTTCAGCATATTGATTTTTTTTCCCCTGTCAGCACCAATAAATCTCACACACAGTTTATTCCAGCTTTGTCTCCAGAGTACAGAGCTGTGGGCCAGCACCTGCATAGCATACAGAAAACAAGGCAGGGTAACAACCATTTTGTGCTTCTCTTTGTTCAGCCTGCTTTCTACTCCTCTATTTTTGTTTTGTTTTGTTTTCTTTCCTTTCCTCCCCCGCTTCCTTTTGTAGATATTGTGAACACTCCCAAACCTGATGAAAGAGCTATCATGACTTATGTTTCCTGCTTCTACCATGCTTTTGCTGGAGCAGAGCAGGTATTAATCAATGGTCCCTTTGAGTTGCTGTGCTTTTTGGTTGGTTGTTTCACATTTCCATGGGATTTTTTCACCTGAATATAGATCTTTGTGGTTTTAATTAACATTCCCAGGTATTATTTGAATGTGAATGCTTGTTTTTAACTAACTTCTGATCCTGATTCAGTTAAAAGCCCTGTAGCAAATTGGATTTTTTTTTTGGTTCCAAAAGGCATTACCATTGACATCTCTATTTTGAGGGTCTTCAGTGGTTATAAAAGGCTATTTTCAGGAAAAGTAAGTTTAGCGAGACCTTGTTTTGCATATGGACCTCAGGCCTAGTTGATGCACAACTTTCCTTGCAGGAGCAGATCTCAGGTGCACAATCAGAATAAATATGCAATATTCAATTGACTCATTAGAATTACTCCAGATTTACACTTGCATAGAAGAGCAGACTTTGACCAGTTGTGTACACTCTGGCTGTTATAAATGCAAATGACTTGTAGAAACTGTGTGAACTGGGCTCTTAATTTGCTTGGGTCCTCTTTTGCATGTTCCTAACAAACCTAATAGATTTCTAGTATGATTTTTTTAACCTAATACCATAACCTGAACAATAGTCTACGTCACTTTCAGAGTAAAGATTTATTAAATGACCCTAACATTAGTGTGAAACTACCTCCTATAAAATAAGGCTTTAACATTTAACAGAATGAATTCTGTGTTGATTTATACTCTATGCAACACACTGAAGTTAGTAGAGTTTTACAGGGAGACTCACTGCAGAATTTGTCCGAATAACTCTGAGAAGGGCGAACTTACATATGAGTCATGAGCACTAACCAACAGTGATGAGAAATGCAATTTTTATTTTCAGCAGTCACATTCAGCTTACTCAAAATTTGTATCTGCTTGTGAACATGATGACAACTATGTCCTGTTTGTTTTCTGTATTTTACAGGCTGAGACTGCAGCTAACAGGATATGTAAAGTGCTTGCTGTGAACCAAGAAAATGAAAAGTTGATGGAAGAATATGAAAGGCTAGCAAGTGAGGTAAAGGCTAGCAAGTGAGGTTCATAGAACACGGATGATGATAAATTCAGTGCATTATTTACAATGAAAATAAAGCAAAATTAAAGTCACATACAGCTCACAGTCATCTTTATCAGAGGGGAAGGATGTTCCAGTGGCTGGAGCATTCGCTTAGAAATTGGAAGAGCCAGGCTTGATTCCTTTCTCCATTACAGGCTTCCTGAGCAACATTGAACAAGTCACATAGCCTCTCTCTGTCTCAGTTCCCCATCTGGAAAATGAGGATAATAGCGCAGGGGTGTTGTGAGGATAGACACATTAGTGAGGCACTCAGATACTGTGGTAATGGAGGCCATCGAAGTACCAGAGAGAGAGAGAGAGATCTTTGAGGGTTTATACATTATAACTGCTTGCACAAATAAGGAATCTTAAATTCACTTACTGTTTTCCATAATTCTAGTTTAAAAAAAGTTTCTTTCCCCTCAGCCAAAAATAGTAACATGATAGATAAATACAAACACATCTTTAAGTGATAAAAATAAGATGTTTAAGTATAAAGTGGTCCATAAGGATTTTATTTCAAACTGAAATATGAGGGTATAAAGTCTGAGATATTTCACAGGCAGGCCAGAGAAAGGTATTTTTTAAGGTGTATCATAATGCATCCCTGCATCTCTGGAAGGGCTGAGACTCAGGAGATCAGAGTTTTCAACTCTGCCACATGCTTTGTGTGTGATCTGAGGCAAGCCACTCGGTTCCCCATTTGGAAAAGGGGGATAATGATCCTTTGCCGGATAAATTCAATAATATTGTGAGGCTCTCAGATACTGCAGTGAAATTACCTACCTAGAAAGAGAAACAGATTATAACTGTGCACTGAATTTGAAATGTGAATTTTATCAGATAAACTACAGCAACTTTTTGTTTGTTAATTGAATTAATGTTGTTTTTTTTGTCTTTCCCAAGTCTTTTACTGATTAGATTACAATGGACTCTTATCATAAGGTTTTCTGTTTTAAAACTACATGTGATATTAGTTAGTTTCCTGAATATATTGTAGACATTCTGGGTCAGATCCTGCAGTCCTTTCTTGGCAAATGGGAAATTTGCCTGAATAAGGACAGCAGGGTTTGGCCCATGCTAATAATGCACACCTTGCAATAACATACGGAGTTCCCTAGATACCAAAATAGCTTTGTAGAGAAACATGCTGTATTGGTACTAACCGTTTTTTTGTGTGGAGTTTTGTAAGTGACGAGTCAGATACTTGGTGTCTGCACTCCTTCCATGGCCTTGACTACTTGAGTCACTAAGGCCAAGATTTTTAAAAGTAGCTGGTGATTTGGGGTAACTCAGGTTTTGGGTACCCAACTTGAGATACCTTGAAGGGACCCGATTTTCAAAAAGCCAAGTGCTCAACACCTTCAAAAAATCAGGGCCCTTTAGGGTGTCTCAAATTAGGCATAAATTGAGGTCTGCAAAATTACTAGTCATTTTTGAAAATCTTGTGCTTAGTTGTCACTAAGTCATTGACTTTGGCAATGACACTCTTGTTAAAGAAAAGACACTGGAGTCTGTACATTCAGGATTATCGGTTTCTTTTTTTTGGTTCCATTTTCCATTCCTTTGGATTTTAATTGTTTGTTTGTGTCTGCACGTGATAGCTTTTAGAATGGATTCGTCGCACGATCCCTTGGCTGGAAGACAAAACGCCCGAGAAAACAATGCAGGCCATGCAGAAGAAGCTAGAGGACTTCCGAGACTACCGCCGCAAGCACAAGCCTCCCAAAGTCCAGGAAAAATGTCAACTGGAGATCAATTTCAACACCTTGCAGACAAAACTGAGGATCAGCAATAGGCCAGCTTTCATGCCATCAGAGGGGAAAATGGTTTCAGTAAGTAAAAATGGTTTCAGTAAAACGGGCCCAGTCTCTTTTCTTCTTTCACCTGAAATGCTCAGTAATATGTGAATAGATGGGATCCAATTATTATTCCAAAACATCTTCACTCATTTCAACTTGCAACATCTAGTTCTCAAGTATCAGCGGTGCTAAATCAACAATACTTATTTTATTCAGTACTTCATTCTAGGACCATTTCTTCCTACCAGTGGTCCTTCCTCTTTTTAAGGCTGCCTCCACTTCAGTAATTCTTCTCTAGCCATGAGAGTGAGACACAAATCCCTCTTTTGGAACATGATCAGTACTGCTTTGTTGAAGGAGCTAAATTGTGTGATTGTGTTTGAAGCATACTACTATTGATTTCATTTGGAGTTTTCTTCAATGCAGGACCTCGGAATTTGGCCCAGGATTGGCCCTGGCACAGTTTCAGTACCTTTTTCAGCTTCAGTTTTCAGTCGATTGTTCTTAATTGAATGGAGCCTTATAATCTGTGAAGACAAACAATAGTTCCTCCAAATTAACTCTCAGCTCTTGATTAGAGTTTTGGAGTCATGAGCTTTGAGTGTTTTAAGTGTTGAATATAGCCAACAAATGTGCTGTAATCTTGTTTTTAAGCTGTTCAGGTTTTATAAACAGGCAGTACTGTTAGCTGAAAAATCTATCTGGCTCACAAAATATCATAGATCCTGGCAGTACTGGCTATAAATGGTGCCTTTGTGCATCTGTAAAAGCTCAAAATATTCTGCAAAGACCACACAACAGGCATCAAGCTTTTTTTACATCAGCCTTGTACGTAGACCAGAAAGCTTAATGACATCGTGTTCCAGCGAAAGTGCACACTGGATTGCTTTTGATATTAGCTGTTCCATCACTGTCAGCTTCTAAGACCAAAACATTTTTATTTTGATAATGGATGCACAAAACAGTACACTTTAAGGATATTATAAATCACCTTCACTGAAATTACAAGATACAGTATAAAATATGCATGGAGGCAGTGGATAGATAACTGCTTTGCATGGACAATAACATTTTGTACACATTGTTTCCAGTTTGCACTCACCTACACATATTTTGTCTGGTGTAGTTTAGGTGCCTATTTCTGAAAAATTTGGACCTAAATTTCCATTTCTGGAGCAAGACTGTAAATTCTTGTAGAGTTCACAAATTTGGGCAAAGTCAGAGGAGATACAGAGTAATGATTAAAATCTCATTCCCTCATTCATCCCCAAACTTCTCATAGGATATTGCTGGCGCTTGGCAGAGACTTGAACAAGCTGAGAAGGGCTATGAGGAATGGTTGCTGAATGAAATACGAAGACTGGAACGACTTGAACATCTGGCTGAGAAATTTAGACAGAAGGCTTCTACTCATGAAACCTGGGCATATGGTAAGCAGACCTTGGTTAAAGTGTTTCAGATAAATCTATCTGTAAATCAGTACTGGGTATTTACAAACCAAAACCAGTTATTGAATAATTTGGACAGTTGTATAAACCTAAAACTAACAACAATTACTCTGGAAGCTTTCTAGCCTTTTCCCCTACACTCATCATCTTAACCTTTTGGCCACGTGGTTAATGAGATTTATCTTTCAACTACATTGGCTGACCATTCAATAGAGAAATAAGTTGAAATCCTGTTACCGGTTTTTAAGATCCACAGAACAATGTCATGCTTCTGGTTTAATGTATCATCCAGCATTTTTGCGAAGATTGCATCATGGTTTCATTTGCATATCCAGTTCTTGTGACCAACCAGTCAGAGCTACAGTAAGTCCAGGAAAGAATCTAGGTAAAAGGCAGATTTCAGCAGAGTGATTTTACAGCAGCAAAGACAAAAGCATCCTTCCACTTTAAGGATGACACATAAATACAACCAGGATTTGTTCCAGCCAAGTCCCAAAACTAGTTATATTAAATTGTGGCTCTCCTTAGCCAAGTTCAACAAACAACATCCTACAGTTTAGCTTACCTCCCCAGAATTTCAGGGAGAAGATGGGAATGAAAAACCTGGCTTGCTTTGATGTGGACACAGCAGCGAAATGAGGACAGACACTTGCATGGAATTAAGCGGAAGGCCACAGCTTTTATTAAACTTTAGCACAGGGGGAGGGGTGCTACTGCTAGTCCAACCCCACCATAATTTAAAACAGCTGAGGGGCTGCTCTCGCACACAGCACTGCTATAAGGTCTCTTTCAGGACCTTACCACAGTAGAGAATCTACGTAATACAGCTCTACCCCACCATGCTCCTAGTTTGCCTCCACCAGGCCCTTCACACTCCCACCACAGCCCCTGTGCTGGCTGTTTCAAACCAGAGTCAAGCCCATAGTGAGCTGGTTAGAAGCACCCAAATCAGTAAATGGCTGCCAAGTAAATGCCAGAAGTGAAGCTGTGATAATTCTGAAAGCCACTTTACTGAGCATGTGCTACTCTGACTACGTGTTGTAGCTCTGACACAGGGAAAAATTATACATGACAGATACAGGAGAATATATAGCAAGAGAAATAATGGTCCCCTCTGGCCTTAAAATCTAGGAAATAGTATGTGGTGAACTGAAGCTAAAGTGGCTGTCTATGAATTCAGTTGTCTCTCCTAATGGTAAGAGTTCCTGATGAGTGAGAGGTAATCTTTCAGTTTCCCATTTTATTTGCTTGCTTTTGTAACCTTTGGTAAGTTAGGAAGGGTCGTAAGGATTTGGCATTTTCTGTTTAAAAACCAAGAGTGTTTGAAAAGGCTGCCACATATCTCAGCCTTTTGTGGAGGTTTTGGGCATGAGGCCAAAGTGAATAATGGATTGAAGGCAAAATTTCAAAGAAGATAAAGTATTGTTAACATAACTTACATTGAACATAGTGGTCTGATTGCTGGCTACATAAGCCAGGTCTTCACTAGAAAAGGTTTGCCAGTGTAGCCATGCCAGCCACCCCGCCCAGTGCTGGCATAAAATTGTTTTTGGCGTATAACTTATACCAGTTCCCTGAGCAAAATAAGATATACCAGAAAAAGGACTTTTATGCTGGTATAACTGTATCTATAGTAGGGCCTCTTTTGGTACAGAAATGTCTCAAAAAATTATACCCCTAGCCAACATTGCTATATTGGCAAAAGTTTTGAGTGTGGGTCAGAATTGTGTGAGGTTTGTGAGGGCATAATCATAGTTTTTCTTTCCACCCTTTTTTTCCTTGGTGGTTTTTTAAAAAGAAACTAAACAAAATTATTGGACTTTTTAGGGGAATGGTTGCTTTTTGCCTCCATCCCTTTCTTCTTTTGTGTCCCTTTCTCACACTCTTTTTTTGTTTTTTGTTTTTCTACTCTCCTCCTCTTTCAACAACAACTAAACAGCAACAACAAGACCAAAAGTTTCAAAATTCATACACATCCACAGACAGTGAGAATAAATTGCAGTTCAATGCTAGGTGTGAAAAAGGCCATTGAAGTGCTTGTCAGTACCTGAAAGATAAAGAACCGAAAAATAGAGTTACCAGGCCTGCCTTAAACCATCACAGATAGTGGTTCACTGAGCCAAGAATAACCAGTACATTGATCAACGTACCAGCAACCTGGATGTTTCTGCTTTATTACATCTTTGTGTTTATAAATTAAATGTTAACGAAGGGTCAGATTTGAGAACCCCATTACTTAGATTGGGAAGGAGTCACTCACCCAAGTAGTCCCACTGAAGTTAATAACTACTCGTTAAGTAACTCTTCACCAGTGCAAGTAGGGAGTTAACAATCTGGCTCTGTGTTGGAATGAGCCTGAATTACCTTGCTACTTATTCCATGTAATACAGCAATGTGTCTGTGTGAAACAGGCTGATTCCCACGTGGAAAAATCCTTTAGAAATGAACAGAAAGTAATCTTTAGACAGTCTTATGAATGATTCCATGGAACATAATAGAGAATCACATCCCAGTTATAGAATTCTATAGGATTGTTTCAGCAACCTACAAAAAAGATCTTATTACGTTCTACAGGTTTAAACAATTATTACTATATAATATTTATTGTTTCACCCTATTAAATTCCATAGGACTTTTCCAGTGAGTTGTTAATAAAGGCATTACACTAGGGATGAAATCTTAGCTCTGTTGAAGTAAATCAATGGGAGTTTTGTCATTGATTTCAGTGGGGCCAGATTTCACGCTGGGTGGGTGATACTGATCAAAGCACCACAAAGCTGGGCCCCAATTTAAATAACTGACTTGAGTGCATTTTTGTTGTAATTAATGAATTAGTAATGAATTACTGATATTTTTGTTTTTATTTTCAGGCAAAGAGCAGATCTTACTCCAGAAGGATTATGAATCTGCTTCTCTGACTGAACTCCGCGCTATGTTGAGGAAACATGAAGCTTTTGAGAGTGACTTGGCTGCCCACCAGGACAGAGTAGAACAGATCGCAGCCATTGCCCAGGAGCTGAAGTATGTTCCATTTAGAGGCATGCAGCTGCTGACATTTAACTGATAAACTCTTTCCAATGAATTCAATAGTGTCATAGGTACAATGTAAGAATTCCACAGATAGCTTCGTAAGGATATTATCTGAGCTAGTCATTGACACCTTTCCTTTTTTTTTTATTGAACTAAATATAGACGTGCAACTGAATACAATCGTTTGAGGGCAAACATTTCAAAATTGACTTAACAGTAAGCTTTTGTTTCTGTAGATCTACTGGTGGGTAAATTGTGTATCTGGCGGGGTAGGGGTGTGTGGAATTAGTCTGCCAGTTCATGTGTTCTGCTACAAGATGCTAGATGTGAAATCGTTCTCATAAAAATTATTTCTTTCATTTTACCCACGTGAGTATAATATAGATCAAGTATCGCAAGCTGATATTAAAATAATTCCTTACATTTGCATCGCTTCTCCCATCCCACAGTACTTTATATACTTAAAAAACTAATTCCTATTCCTTCTCTGTATAGCAAGTGTGTCTCGGTCTGTCTAAAGTACTTGTCAGGACCCCATTACCATAGTGTGTGAGGACTCACAATCTTTAATGTATTTATTCTCACGAGCCGTACTGTGAGGTGAGGACGTGTTGTTAGCCTCGTTTTACAGAGCAGGAACTGAGGCACACAGACACTTGCCCAAGGTCACACAGGAAATCTGTGGCAGGGTACGGACCTGAAACCAAGTCAACCAAGACCAATGCCTTAACCACTGGACCAGTACACACACACACACACAGACACACATGCATGCGCGCGCACACTCACAGAGAGAATACAAATTAGTTTAAGGATCCAGTTCAGCAGTACACATAAACACATAATACATAAATACATACACACATGCTTAATTGGAAGAGTTTGGATAGTCCCATTGAATTTAATGTTGTTATACTGGAAATCAGTGGTACTACTCCCGTGCTTAATGTTAAGCATGTGCTTAAGTGCATTGCTGATTTGCAGTATACATTTATGAAGCTAACAGAAGACAGTGTGGACTAGTGGTTAAAACAGATGTCTGTTTGGGAGTTAGGACGTTTAAGCACAGTTCCCATCCCTGTCTCTGACTCTCTGCGTCACCTGTGCCGAATCTCTTTGTCTACATAGCAACTAGACTCCTACGACTGGCCCGTGCCAACCAACTCATGCTTGCCGGGCTGTTTCATTGCTGTGTAGACTTCTGGGCTCAGGCTTCAGCCTGGGCTCTATGACTCTCCCACCTCGCAGGGTCCTAGAGCCCGGGCTCCAGCCTGAGCCCCGAGAGCCTGAGTCAGCTGGCACGGGCCAGCTCTGGGTATCTAGTTGCTGTATAGATATACCTTTTATTACCTTTCCCTGTTTTAGTTTCTTCATTTCTTTGATGGATTAAATACTTACTGCAAAAGAATATTGTGCAATTTTTTTTGAAAAGGGCTACAACTCAGAAACACCTGGGTCTTAATTCTCCACTAGCTCCAATCGTGGCTCTGTGATTCTGTAGTGCCTGGCCTCAGTCTAGAGCATCTGGGAGTCTACGCTAACTTATGTCTCTGGAGGAGGGACCTTACAGCTTTGCCATGAGCCTTCCATTCTTGTGCTGGGGCAGAGTGTGGCTAGCACAGGCACCAGTTCTGTCACCTCATCCAATGGAAGTCTCCTCTGTTTAGAAACAAATCCAAACATCCATCATCAAGTTATAAATCGCACTTTCTGAAAATGTTTTGCCTACTATTGTTAGCAGTAACACCTAAGATTACTTTAACTGGAAAAGATTATAGAAAAAGTCTATTTTTTCCAGTTTATTTAAGAGAGAATGTGTATATTTAGAGGAAAAAAGATGAAGTAATTAGTTAATGCCAAAAAGCATGAAACTTAAAAGGAAACACATATCAGTGAATTCATCAGTTGATAAAACACTTGCCTTTCTTTTCACCCTGATCTGTATGGTAATAATGACTTTCTATTGTGTAATTGTTTGTACAGTCGCTCTCAATGGCTCTCTCTAGAGACAATTTCTGAAAATGTCTAACGCTGGTTGAGCTCCACCAGTATTAGCAGCATTGAGAGCAGAGTGCGGACAGCCTGGCAATTGCCACTATTGTTTTAGAGGTGTCATTGACCTCTGTTCGGATCAGGCTAATGAACACAATCCTTAAAAGGCTGGTTGGCCATCTACACTAGGGCTCCAAACACTGTTAACATCAATTAAGTTGGACTGGTGTTAGCAACAAAGTGAGATTTTTGAATAGCATTCTTAATGCAGGCAGGGTCAGTGCTACATCCTCTAAGTCTGTGTTTTGCCAACTTGAAGGGAACATAGCCAGGTGGTTAGAATGGGGCTGGATGGGAGAGAGAACTCTGCCACTGACTTGCTGTGTCATGTTGGACAAGCTACTTGTGGCCTGATTTTCAGAGGTGATGAATCATAGAATCGTAGGATTGGAAGGGACATCGAGAGGTTAAGGAGAACAGTTTTTCTCCCTAAAAACACCCTGTTGACTTCAGAGGTGCTCTGCATTAACCTCCATGTGCTTACCTGTAAAATGGAGAAATCTCTGCCCGGTTGCGTAGGGGGGTTGTGAGACTCAATTAGTCTTAAAACCCTTGGGGGACATTGAATGAAGGGTGCTATATATAAATGCCAAGTATTAGTAGCTGCAAGCAAATGGACAGCTTCCTTTGGTTATTGATTTTAATAATTTTACCAACAGTTCCTCACAAAATTATAGAAATTAGAAGTGAAAAGTCCTAGTTCCTCTTGACAGTGATATTTTTTAGGATTGTGTAAAAATTTTCATGCTAAGAAAGGTGTAGTTGGAGCTGATCTAAAGCTCATTGAAATAAATAAGGATCTTTCTCTTGACTTCTTTGTCCATTGATCGGGTCCTTAAAAAGACCAGCATTGACTGTGCTTCAGGTCAGCACACCCTATATTTTTTGGTAGTCTGCAGTTGCTATTTTGAAGGAGAACAATTGCGGTGTGACCTTGAGCTGCACTGGTTACAGTTCAGTGTCAGCGCTGATATTTTCTGCTACAGCAGCTGAGCCCACTAAGAGCATAAAGGTTAAAGTTGTTAAAAGCTTGTTGATTGATGGTGTCTGGATAAAGGATTTGTGTGTGTGTGTGTGTGTGAGCAGGATCATTCCAGTTTGGAAGCTGTTATGCTGTCATTGTATGCCAGATTGTGAGACGACATAAATCTTGGATGGGGCACTATATAAACCTGGGGGGGGGGGAATCAGGGATTTCCCATTTAATACATTGTAAATGCTAAAAAGAATGAGACTAAATTGTGCTCTAAGGTACTATACTCATTTATGGTCCTATGCACTAATTCCAAGATCTTCACTAATCAGGATCAAAATTTCTGAATGTATTTTTTTAAAAATATTTATCTCCCCTTGTGTAAAAACTTATTTTCAGCCAGGCAAACAGCTATATTAGTCTCCAGCATAGATGGACTAGAAAGTCTTTTGCTTCTGGATACCTGGGTTCAAACTGTGTTTATGGGCACAGTTACAAAGAGGCCAGCCCTGATCCAGGAATTACTTAAGTACACGCTTAACATGGCTTCTATGGAACTACTCATGTGCTTAAAGTTAAGCACATGCTTAAGTGCTTTGCTGGATCAAAGCTACTGTCAGATCAAATTTGGCTCATTTTTACTTATAATGGTGAGAGAATCACAAAAAGCAAACAGCACAAGTAGTGCAAAAGTAAACTAGGTATTTACATTTCTTTCCTTTTTAACAATTCCCTGTAAAACGTGACTTTTTTTAAAGGAAATTTGTTTCTTAGAAGTTTATAGTGGCAGCTCCTCATGTGGGATAAATTGGCATAGCTCCACTGAAGTCATTGGAGTCACACTGAGTTATACTAGCTGAGGATCTGGCCTACTATTTTTAAACTGTAGGTGCCCCTTTAAAATTAGCGTTGATAATCTCGTTCTCTTCCCAATTTATCCATATTCCAAACATGCAACACAAACTGTCTATGCTTAATAAAAGCCCAGGAATAGGATAGCAGGGATATTGCAAGTCATGACAGGTACGTTGGAAGAGCTGTTTGGCGAAGTTAGTACAGTATCTTCCAGCACTGACCCATACCCAGTACAATTAGTCCCTAACTTTCACAAAAGTGACATTTGCCCTTATCCTAAAAAAATGAGTGACAATCAATTGGGCTAAAAATAAAATTCACAATAGTCTTAGAGGTTCCACTTGGAAAAACTTGAAGAACACTTTGTATGTATTTATGAAAAGCAGCAAAGAGTCCTGTGGCACCTTATAAACTAACAGACGTATAGGAACATGAGCTTTCGTGGGTGAATACCCACTTCTTCGTATTCACCAACGAAAGCTCATGCTCCTATACATCTGTTAGTCTATAAGGTGCCACAGGACTCTTAGTCTGGATCTGTAAAAGCAGCAAACACGGCTACCCCTTTGATACTATGTATTTATTGTGCAAAAAGATACTGATACAGAAGCTCTTGGTGCCCTGACAACTTACTAAACTCACAATCCATGTATGAACATCATCTATCAGTAGGAGTATAACATAAAAAAAATTAACTTGCAGCCAGTACATCAAAACAGCAAAATTATGTCCCATCCCACTCCACCCACAGCCCCAGACCCTCAGACCTCTCCCAAAGTCTTATTAATTAGATAGCTTTTACTGCATACCCTGAAGGTCAACAAATCTGAAATGATTTCGACCAAAGTGTGGAGCAGTTCCAGAATCAAAGGGCCCTCATGGAGAATGCCTTGCTAGCAGCTCCCTCTCCTTTATATAAATAATGTGCTTAGATGTCATATGGTTTCTCTCTAACTTTTTGATGATTAGGGCACTTTTATCAAAAAAGCTCTTAGTTTCCAACAGTTCATTGGTTCTTTGGCTGCATAGCCACTGCAAAGTGATTCTCTAACACACATACACTCTCTGTGTCCCAATGACTATAAGTATTTATCCACAGTGGAACAGTCATTAGGCCACAGAGCGAGTGAAAATGACCTGGTAGTCCAGTAGTTAGGGCACCTACCTGGTAGGTTGGAGACCCTGGGTCCAATCCCCTTACACCAGTCACTCTTTCATTATTTATCCACAGTGCAACAGCTTCAACAGGAGAGATTGAGGGTGCCCCACATCTGAATATCCCATAGCTCAGTGGTTAGAGTACTCTCCTGAGATGTGGGAGGCCTCTGTTCAAATCCTTTTGCCCTCCTCTAGTTAAGAGGGGGGAATTGAACCTGGATTTCCCACAGCCCAGACAAGTGCTCTAACCATTGGGCTAAAAGTTACAAGGTAAGCACCACTGCCTCACGCCGGATTTTGAATGGGACCCAATCCAGTAGGCAGCCTCTGAGCATGCCTATCAGTCAAGCCCCACAGGTGGCTTAGGTAGCTGAACACATGTCTTTCCTTGAGGTTCATGAATCACTCTGGAGCTTAGTTGGGAGATAGCCATCCAGATGCATAGAGGGAGGCTGCAGCGTGCATGCCAAGAAGCAGAAACATAGGTGCTGAGGGAACCTTTACACTGGAAACTTAAGTGCCGAGTGAATTTAGGTGCCTACGAGGTTCGGCGGGACTTTTGTAGATCACAGTGGAACCAAAATGGGAACTTAGGCACCTAAATCTGGGGTTTAAGCACCTAGGTATCTTTGTGGATCCCGCCCTTAGTGCCTAGATCCCACACATTATAATACCACTACACTGCCTAACTGATTGCAAGTTGACTTTTTTAGCAAGAGGAGGAAAAAGAAGAGGAGGAATAGTTACTGAGGGCCAGTGCAACATGTACACAGGTGCAGAATGTACAGTGTTTTCCTGTCTGTTTGTTCAGAAGCTATAGCAGTTTTTGTCTTCACTCTTTCCTAGTGAACTGGACTTTTACGATGCTGCAAATGTCAATGATCGATGCCAGAAGATATGTGACCAATGGGACAAACTGGGAACACTTACTCAGAAAAGAAGAGAGGCACTGGAGGTAAAATTGATATCAATAAGCAGCTCCATTTTAAAAAACGAATCCTTTGGGATTTATAACAGACATTGTTGAGTGTTAATTCCTGGAATCCAGACTGCAATAAACCCTTTCCTCGGCTCTCCATTTTAGGTTGCTGTGAGTTCATTTGCAATATAGGTTGAATTGCTCAGTAATAGACTGGATGGTGCTTTGTTTCTTAGAAGTTTATGGTGCAATTAGAAGCTATAAAGCAGCAGCAGAATGAATTTGGTCATCAAGAGTTGACTTGTAATCCCACCCTTTGGGGATTTGATGCATAGCAGTGATATAATTAGGAAGCTGTCTTGTCATATTCACTACAGCAAAACTCAGTTTGAGCAGTAGGCCAGTGGCCAGGCTCTCTGGTGATGGAGGTTCCAAAGCAGTGAGATCCAATTTACTAAAAGCCCTAGGATGTATCTTCATGGCTTCCCCTGAGATCAGTGGAAGCCACCTACATACATCTCTGGGCTCAAATGTGACATGTATGTGTTACTGCTCCGTTTCATACATGAAAGAAATTATTAACGCAGGCCATTCTTTTACAATTGGTGCAATTTAATTTGTTCATTTTATAGATCAGATTATGAGAAAATATTTAAAATGCAATAAATGGCAAAAAAAAAAAGCACTTAGGCCCTGATCCTACACAGTCTTATGCACATTCTTCAGTTTACATAAGTTTAACATGAAAATAATTTTAATGTGAGTAGTCTCACTGATTTCAGTGGCATCTTTTAAGATATCTCAGGTTGGGCAGCCAGCAAATAAGGCGTCCAAAATCATCAGTCACTTTTGAAAATGTATGCCCAAGGTAACTGGGACACTACCTGTATGTGCATAGAATTAGCTTTCACCTTGGTAACAATGAATTTGTTTGTGTGCATTTACTGGATTTAACAGAGGACAGAGAAATTGCTGGAAACAATTGATCAGCTTCACCTGGAGTTTGCCAAGAGAGCTGCTCCATTCAACAACTGGATGGAAGGTGCTATGGAAGACCTACAGGACATGTTTATTGTTCATAGCATAGAGGAAATTCAGGTAAATGGTAGTATGTTTTTGGTTTGCCATCCTCAGGAAGTCAAGAAAGGGAAGCCTTCCCTCTCACTGAATGGACATTGTCAACATGTGTAGGTGAAAACATATCCTGCCTATAAGCTATCTTTCTGACAGAGAATGTCCTTTCCCACTCATCTATGAGCATAAAAGTGATAACCTATAAGCAGACATGGCCTTTTAAGGCAGTTGGCTGCAGTACTTCTCCCCTTGGAAGGAGCCATTAGCCAGAGATAAGAAGGCAGGCAAACCATGTGGAAAGCAGAACTTGGGAACACAGTGTCTCTGCATTTCTCATTATATGGCGCTTGGCGGTTGTTTGGGGCTCTGCGACACTAGCTAGGTGGGATTGGTGGCCTTGAGTAGTCACAGTGTATGGGATTTGGCCCAGAACAGTCATATCTGACTGCACTAATGTTAACCTAATAATAAAGGCAACTTTGTGGAACCTGACACTTTACTTGTGTGTCTCATTAAAGGCAAGGCATAATTTACATTTCCACCCACTTTAAGACCACTTTATATTACCAGATTAGTGTATAAAGGTCTTAGTATAAATGAGAATCAGGCTGTTCATTGTGCATAGTTGGCTTGTTGTGAAAGTAATTAAAGGAATTAATTTTGTCATTTGTTCAGTTGCACTCAACATTAGTGGTATATTTGTGCAGTTGTATTTAAACGGATGCTCTCAAGTATTTAGGCCCAGATGCTGCATCATGATCCGCTAGGGCAGACCCCTTTGCCTATGCGGAGTCACACTGGCTTCATTGAGACTCCATATGGACAGAGGGCTCCAGGTGAGAGCATTCCAAAGAAGTGTCAGGGCTCTAATTACTTTTTTCTTTTAAACAGGGCGAGGTTAGGGTGAGTAGAAAACTTGTCAATTTTTTTAAATTTAGTGGGGAAAAGGAAAGGGGATAATATTCACTTGCAGTATTGGAAACCCAAATAGCACAGTATTGAAAAACATCAAAAGAAGCATGAAAAACAAAGTGAAACTTATCTGTCTGGTTTTACTATTCAGAGTGAGTGAAGTGCAACACAGTATGAAAATTAAATTGGTTTTTTTCATTTGCATTCTTAATATCATATGTTGTTAGAAACACAGGTAAAGAAACATTTTTCAGAAATGAATCATTTTCATCTTCACATTCTCTCTTAAATACTTCAAAAACAGCAAAATATGGTCTGCTACCCCAAAAATCACCTTATTGCAAGTTCTGTCTTTTTTGAGGTGATCCTATAGGTGAAATTCTGTCTCCACTGGAATTTTGCCATTGACTTCCATAGGGTCAGGGTTTCACCCCATGTGTACAATGTATTTGGGGAGGAAATACAATTATTTAGCTCAGGCCCTCAAGATCATAGAACTGACACTACAACAAAAATCCTTATTCTTTCCCCCTTTATTTCTGATTCCAGAGTTTAATCACTGCCCATGATCAGTTTAAAGCCACTCTGCCAGAGGCAGACGGTGAGAGACAGGCTATCCTGTCGATCCAGAATGAAGTTGAGAAGGTTATTCAGAGTTACAACATCAGAATAAGTGCAAGCAATCCTTACAGCACCATCACTATGGATGAAATCCGTGCCAAGTGGGATAAGGTATTGTATGCTAAAGGTGGAAATGACATTGCAGGAATAATGTTTTGGTTGTATGAATGATAAGAACAGAGACCCACACTGACTCTCCAGAAGTTGTCATGAATTACTAAAAAGAAAAAAAAAGTCTAATATCTGGGCTGATTCAGCAGCATTCACTCAGGCAAAACTCTCCCTGCAATCAATGAGTAAAAACAGGAACAGCCCCATAATGAAAGCTCTTTCTTAAAAATCTTGGCTAGTCTGGACAGCAGAAAGGTATGTCAACATAAAATTAGGCTATTGGCTAGAAGAAGCTTGGTTGTCATTATGGCTAGTGTAGAAAAAAAGCCTACCTATGTATTATGGAGAAACGTAGTACGGACGGATATTGAAAAAAATACAAAATGACAGTTACAGCCACATTTAACATTTTAAACCAGTTTCAACTCAATATTTAGTAGGTCTGTGGGGTAACTGATGTAGAACTGCAAGGAAAATTTGGGCCCAGTGTTAGTTTCTATGATATATTTAAAACATTTTAAATGTTTTTCATGGGGTTATATTAATTTTAATTATACAGTAGCATTACAGTTCCCTGAATTGCAACTGGTCTCCCCAGTCACATGACTATATAATTAATGACTGAAAATACACAGGTCAGGGAACCAGTTGTGCTCCCATTGAAGCTTTTAGAACTGCATTGTGGAGCTGGCCCAATACATCTCATTTGAATCTACCTTCATGGCTTTGCTTGAATGTAATGTTGTGTGTCAATTACTGTTTAAAGCTAAGTGAAACGAATAGAGAATTGAATATGCTTAAAATAGCCTGTATTTTTTTTTTCAACAGGAAAAACAGTGTAGTAACTAGATCAAGGTTAAAAAGTCTTAAATTTAAATCTAGTCAGAAATTAGATTTTCTTTTCCTTAAAAGTCAGTCTTTCTGGTCACACTTCCAGCCTGACTGGTTTCAAAATGCTCAAGCGTATGCCCAGAAAGATATTGGAGCAAATAATTAAGCAATCAGTTAGCAAACACCTTTAGAAGATAATAAGGTGATAAGTAACAGTCAGCATGGATTTGTCAAGAACAAATCATATCAAACCAACCTAATAGCTTGCTTTTAACAGAGCAAAGAGGCCCCGTGGAAGAGGGGAAGCGGTAGATGTGGTATATCTTGACTTTAGGCTTTTGATACTGTCTCACATGACCATCTCCTAAACAAACTAGGGAAATACAACCTAGATGGAGCTACTATAAGGTGGGTGCATACCTGGTTAAAAACCATTCCCAGAGAGTAGTTATCAGTGGTTCACAGTCAAGCTGGAAGGGCATGGCTTCACCTCAGTGAGTATTTATTTTGTGGGTCAATAATGCTTAATATTCACTAAAAAAGAAGTCAGTACCTGTTGTTTCATTGTACAGCACATCTCTTCATTTCAATAGTTCTAGTACCTAAAGAACCATACAAAAATTCAAGTAAGAAATACAGAACAGGCCACATGTAAACATTAGTTGAAACAGTCAAAGACTCCACAAAGTTTGCTCATGATTGAAAGCAAATAAGCATTTCAGGTAATGAAATAAACCTGCTCACTAAATAGCGCTAGGGGATGACAGAGGAAGCGGGGGAAACTGAGGTTAGGAAACCATCAGTCTATGCTACATTATTTTTACAAGTATGATCTAATCTTATCTACTCACATCAACCCTCATTTCTTTTGTGCACGGGCAGGTGAAACAACTTGTGCCCATGAGGGATCAATGTTTGCAGGAGGAGCTAGCCCGTCAGCATGCTAATGAACGTCTGCGTCGCCAATTTGCTGCTCAGGCCAATGTCGTTGGGCCATGGATCCAGACCAAGATGGAGGCGAGTATCACTGAGGCATCAAGAGGAGGCTGTTGAATAGAACACATATCATTTTTCTCAGAATACTCCCTGCTGTACACACAGAACATCAGTGGCCTTCAGTGCCCTGCACCAGCACTCCAACATTAATGTAATCAAGTCTTTTAAAGAAGGGTTCTAAAATAATCAGAGCTTATAAAAGCAAATAAAAACCTGTCTAACAAGGTGAAATCATTTTGGAATAGGTTTTTGAGAAGTGAATGGGGACATTAGAGAGGTGATTTTCAAAGGCACACAGAACAGATAGGCACCTGAGTCACATTAACAGTCCATGGGAGCTGGACCTTTGAAATCCTCTCCTAGATTATGAATATTAGTTTGGTTGTGTTCTTTCTATAGAAATACCATTGTCCCAATGTTGTCCTGAGATATGAGTGTGCAACAGACAACATTCTCTAGTTTGGAGGGAGTTTTGATTGCCACTGATTCTTAGTATAAAAAGGTTATGTTTTCCATGTAAATGTGTGGCAAACTAACAAACCTGGAGTTTAGATTGTTTTGTTTCTTTTTGTGTGACAGGAAATTGCCCGCAGCTCTATTGAGTTGACAGGGACCTTGGAGGACCAGATGAATCAACTGAAGCAGCATGAACACAATATCATCAACTACAAAACCAATATTGACAAATTGGAAGGAGACCATCAGCTTATACAAGAAGCCCTGGTGTTTGATAACAAGCACACAAGTTATACTATGGAGGTACTTATGAATTCAGTTCTGTGCTCTTAGGTTCATGTATCCACTTCCCCCAGTCTGAGGGAGTTGTAACAGAGGAAAGAATTTGGCAGACTTCCTAGTTTATTTGCAGCAGAAGATATACATTACTAAGGCTCCGTTTGTCTCGGCCGTAACTCCTGTGACAAAACCATGACTTTTGGTCTTTATTATGAAGCCTTATGGCCTTTGTCACCTGGTCAGCTGCTGCTGAGAAAGACCCCGGTCCTGGATGGAGCTGATTGCAAGATCAGAGCATAAAACTCCTTTATACATTTTACGTTGTGGACTCTGTATATGTTCATGGAGGGTGGAACATGGATTGTTATATGGGTATGAACTGTTAAATATTATTGTTTTAATTGGAACATAAAAGATATTTATTTGATTTTCCTCTTAATTTCCTCTTAAATATAGTTTGCCACAACTTTTCCTTTTTTTTATGACTGTTGTCGCATTTTTGTCATGATAAAGCCATGTCTTTTCCCGCATGTTTGCCATGACAGATTATCAACCAAGACTCCAATCCTGTTAACACATATATATGAGTCACTTTACACACAGGAGTAGTCCCATTGAACTAAATGAGACTGCTCACATGTATAAAGTAACTCATGATTTTAAGTGTTCAAAGAGTTGGAGCCCAAGGTGGGAAAGTGACTATAACTGGAAAGCTTGGGAACCATGTTGGGTCAGCCAAATACTGTCCAGAATTAAACTGATGCTCAAAAATACAACGCTCTTGAATCCAAGTGTTGACATCTAAGCCAACATCAGACTTTATGGCTAACATGAACACTATGATCAAGAACCAATAGAGGGTATGAACAAGTATCAGTTTAGGAACTAATTTAATATTTTTTGCATGTCTGTTATACATGGACGGCGGGTGAGCACGCCCTTGGGGGAGGCTAGCCCCCAGCCCCTCCTGCTCTGCCCGAGGCCCAGCCCCTTTTGTCTCCCTCCCCTTCCGGAGCCTGGAGCACATCTCCCCACCCCCCACCCCAACGGCCACTGGCCCCCCCGAACGCCCCCAGCCCCAGTGCTGGGCAGGTGGCATGGCCAGATTGCATTCTGTCCCAACACTGAGCGGGCGGCACAGCCATATCTCATCCAACCCCAGTGCTGGGCGGGTGGGCAGGCAGCGTAATCGGAGCACCTCCAGCCCCAGCACTGGGTGGGCAGGCAGCATGGTTGGAACGCCCCCAGCCCCGGCACTGGGCATGTAGGTGGCGCAACCAGAGCGCCCGCAGCCCCAGTGTGGCCCCAGCCCGGGAGTCTTGTGCACACCGTGGCCCTCAGCCTGCCTGCCCCAGCCTCTTGGCCACAGAAGGGAACAGCAGGCAGAAGGAGGCCTGGGGGCATAGTGTGGGTGAGGCCACGCCGGCTGTTTGGGGAGGCACAGCCTCCCCCTGCCTACGATACCCACTGCCCATGCTGTTATATTTGCAGTGTACCCATAATCGTAGCATGCAGGTGGTGGCACCAAATAACAATAACAATATATAAATAATTTCAGATTGCATTGTTGGTTTCTCTCTTAGTGTCTTTGTTATCATGCTAGGAGTTCAGGTTTTCATTACCAGCCTAAAGAATCCATGTTTTCTCTCCTATAGCATATCCGTGTTGGATGGGAACTCTTACTGACCACCATTGCCCGAACTATCAATGAGATTGAGACGCAGATCCTTACAAGAGATGCCAAGGGTATCACCCAAGAACAAATGAATGAATTCAGAGCATCGTTCAATCACTTTGATAGGGTACAGTACTCCAACTTCTTTCTCATCTAACAGTTCTCCAAAAGCAAGTCAGTATAACATTGTTTCTTTGCATTCCAAATACCAGTGTCTCTTTAAAAAAAAAAAATAGGATGCACTAAAAAATTGATAGTTTTTTTGAAGTAAAAAAGCTAAAATAAAAAGAGGAGGCATATTCTTTTAAACTATAGCATTTATTATACAGATGATTTAAAGATTAATTTCTGCTCTTCAATTTTGCTGTGGAATTAAAATTCAGAGAGAATGACAGCTAATTGAGTGCTTGTAACAACCTGTTAAAATAATGCAGGAGACTGACTGGATATTTTTGTGTATGCTACAAAGTGATGTGGTCCCTTACTGTAAAGCAGTGGCCTGTTACACACTCTCAACAGCAGTTGCTGTCGCATAGTAAGGCTTGATTTCTCCTGCATTATAACAAAAAGAAAAAAAGGAAAAAATCAATAACTTTTCCCCCTAGAAATATGCTGTTCAGGGAAGCAACTCAGTAGGGGCAGCGATCATTTTCAAAGAAAATCCTTTCTATGCACAGGGATTGTGTGTTTCAGTTCCTTAGTTAGAAATGAATAAAGTAGGAAAGAAAATATCCTTATGGATGTATGTAACACGCTCTACTGGTGATTCTCAGTGCAATCAAAGAAATGAAAGAAGTAATCAAAATGCATGTGTAAAAGGTAAATAAAGAGATAGGTATGGATGCAGTAACAAAACAAAACTATTTTATGCAAACAGAGTTATTTTCATACATAAGAATAGGGATGTGAGTGACATTCCCAGTTGGAAAACTATATTCACACACAATTTTGCTGGGTAGATGCTCATACAAATCTGTCTTCAAAATCCAGTGCAAATCTTAAATACTGAAAATGGCTGCTGTAATATAGAACCAGCCTGCTCCTTCCTCCTCCTCCTCCCCTGGCTTCTTTCTGTACGAATTCCTCACCTTCTCCGTCTTACCACCTGGATTCCCTGAAAACTATCCTGGGTTCCAGAGAGCTTCACTGATTCCCAGCCTGACTCTGTTCACCCCATGCCCAATGCTAGCTCCTCCCTTTCATCTCCATCCTGATATTCCGTTTCTTAGCTCCCCAACTCCAAAGTGGCTACATGCATCTAGATTTGTACTTGGTGTATATTGGATCCTGATAGTCAACATTTGGTATCTGGCACTTCACACAAAAAGTAGAATTTTCATATATCTACAATAGAAGCAAGGAGAGGGTAGATCCACAGGAGTCAGTGACAGATGTACTTCATTTTATTGGGACTCTAAATGTAATTGTAGTGTAGTATAATTCCTCTTTGTATTCACTAAGGAAGGAGAAGACAATATCATAGAGACACAGATGCTTTTCCCAGGGTGAGAAAGAAGTAATATGTTGAAAGGCTTTCCCAATGCACTGGAGCAGATAATTGAGCAATTAGAGCCATTAAAAGCAGACAGAGCATCAGGCCCACAAAAAAATTACAACCTACAGTTCAGAAAAATCCATTATGGGGAAGCAGGAACTTTGTGTAAAGATTTGACAGCTCCTTAAAGAGCATATGCTCCCCTCACGCAGCGTGGAGAAGGTTTGGAAGAGGTATGGCACATAAGGGATAAAGGTGGCTATGCCATAGTACAACTCACACTGTGTAGCCATTTCCAGCACTTCCGTAACTTTTATTCCATCCTTCAGAGCAGGAATGTCTGCTCTGTGGCTTTAACTTTCCATGGAGGGGGTATTGTTGCCAGGCAGTGGCAGCCCAGCAAAATGGACTGTCATGCTTCTGGTGCTGCAGAAGGCCTAGATATGCACAAGTTAAGATCTATGGCAGCTGGCCCTGTTCTCAGGGATCTGCGGTCTTTCCATGAAGTGGCAGAGACACCCCCAAGTCCCAGAGGAAACAATATAGCAGAGCTGCAGTGTAGAAAAGCCTATACAACAGGGTGTAGGAGAGAGGTGGTGCTTCCACACAACTTTAGTCAGGGTGTGGAGCATATGACCCTAAGAAAGAGGGTAAGGCCAAAGGCCTAGAGAGTAGTTAACATTCTCCAGTGTACAAATTTAAGAAAAGGAGGCAAAATTTGAAAACTCAGCTACTAAATCAGGCTTCCTGTGTGCAACAAATAGTGCTAAAAGGGAAGCTGTTTCAAAGCACACTAAAGAATTGTTAATGCGCAGTAGCAGGGTCCACACAGACAGTTAGTGCGCAGTAGGCTAGTTCAGGCTAGATTCACACCTCAGCTTGGTGTGAATTAAATGTTAGTGTAGACCAGCCCTTATTAAGGTATAAAATAGTGGGCAAATGTGACTTAATCTACACAGACTAGAAGGAGGCAAACCTTTTTCATTGAACAAACACATGTGAGAGACTGAAGCTTCTTTTTCAATTTTATACCTTCCCTTCATCCTACCAAACTTAAACATTCAATGTCAGAGAGTAAAATGTATCAACTCTGCTTCAGAGTTTCTTCAAGTACACACAATTATCAATCCTCTAAACTGGCTGTTTACAGCGATAAGGCAGATTTGGACTCTGCTATGAAATCTGGAATTGGGGTGAATGAAATTGGATCATCCAAATGTAGTTCTGTAACATCAAAGGCATCATACTCCCCCCTGTGAGGCAGAGAGCAGAAATGGATGTAGAGATCTTTAAAATAAACATTATGTTCTGAGGTTTGCTGACATATTTTCTTTAGCTAAATGAATATATTTGCTTCTAAATCTTTAAAACACATGCATATTTGAAACAGGTTCTGCCAGTATTTTCCTTCCCGATAAGAAAGAGTTACAGTATAGATTTGTTGTTAGCTTTATAACTAATAGACTGTTGTTGCTAACCGTGGTACTGAATGGATGAGGTATTTAGAAAAATAAATAGAATTAAAGAGTGCAGTTCAGTGACAAACAATCAGCAAGAATCCAGAAACTGAAAACTATTCCTGACAAGTAGACTTTAACTATTTTAACACAACAGGGTCAGTTATGGATGCCTGAGCTGTAAGTTTCCTGGCATTTTTCCAGTTTAAATCAGATCTTAATGTTTGGAACTGTGCACATGTGCGTGAATATTATAGAGTATCAATGTGCAGAATCACTAAAAGCTCCACTTTTAATAGTTCATTTTGATCTGCATGAAACTAAACAGTTTATAGATGACTGCCAAGAACGGCTTCAATGAGATATAAATTTGAGAGGGGAACTCCTTTTTTCCTCTCCAGGAGAAAAAAAAAGGGCAAATATTCAAAATCATAATTATCTTACCATTCAAATTCCATTACTATTAGAGGGCCTGAGTCTCCAGTCTTGATCTGTTTGAGGAAGGGCATGAGGATCAGGCCCATATTATCTTAAGTGGCCTTTGTAGGTCTTGACTATTGGAAAGAGAAACTGCATACTATTTAAAATGCAAAGGACTAGATTTTGGCTTGGACTACAGACCCACACAGGGGAGTTAGGAGGAGTGAGTTACCCCTTTAGACGTCTGCCTGAAATAGTGAGCTTTGGGTCTGGGTGTGCTGGAGTAAGGTGTGCTGCATGCACTTGAAGCAAAGGGGCAGAGAGAGTTTCCATCCATCCCCAGTGCATCAACCAGCACAGCTGAACCATACAGGTGTCATAAATTGCCTTAGCTATAGGCCAATAGTAAATTATGACCTCTCCTGTAGCAAGAGGGAAGCAGGGAGGGAATTAGAAATAAATAAATTAAAATAAATTTATTTATTTCTAATTCCCTCACTGCTTCCCCCTTCCTACAGGAGAGGTCATAATTTACTGTCTGAGGGTATGTCTACACTACAGGATTAATCCGAATTTAGATAATTCGAATTTGGGAAACAGGTTGTATAAATTCGATTGTGCGCGGCCACACTAAGCACCTTAATTCGGTTTTTAACCACATTAATTCGGTGGTGTGCGGCCACACTACCCCATTAATTTAAACACAGTAATTCGGTGGTGTGCGGCCACACTAACCCTAATTCGAATTAACAAAATCGATTTAGGCTCTACTCCGTTCGTCGAGGTGGAGTACAGAAATCGATTTAAAGGGCCCTTTAATTCGAATTAACTGGCTCTGTAGTGTGGACGGGTGAAGGGTTAATTCGGATTAACGCTGCTAAATCCGAATTAATCCCGTAGTGTAGACCAGGCCTCAGACAGTTGTTGTTGTGGCATGGTACCTCCTGGGGCACCCGAGAAGGCACACCACTCCTTGCTCAGGGCTGTGACTAAAGGCACAATCAAGCTCCAAGTATAAATAGGAATCTGCTGCCAAACTGTTATATTCCTTGTACTGCAATAGAAAGACATAAAGGAGATATGGGGTACAATTTATTTGAAATATAACAAGATTTTTTTGGATGCTCCAAATGGTGTCTAATTGATTTGTCATGCACAGGTGAAATGTGTATGTTGGCAATCAGTGCTTCTCAATCCCTTTATGGTTTCCAGATTCCTTTTTCAGATTCAATATGTTTTAATAAACCCGAATTGCAAAGCATATGATAAAATATCTACTGCAGCTACACCTGCAATATCATAAATATTGAATTGGCTGTGTTCCGTGTTAGTCAGTAAATGTGGGCCATATTCTACTTTCGATTTTTGTGAAACCATTGATTTCAAATGGGAGCTCTGCATGCAAAACAGTAGAAAGATATGATTGTATAGGTTTATCTAACAGTAAAAACAACAGCTCCCTATAAAAGGATTCACATCAACAAGCTTATGTAGATAAATTAACATTCAGGATACCAAAGAACACATTTGAGAATGCATTACTGTGGCTTGGAAGTTTGTATTTGTGTAAAGCTGTGTATAAATTACAGAGGGAAAAGGACAAGTTTCAGGGGGCTAGTAGTGAAACTAGATGGGGAACCTCAGTGTGTTTTTCTGGGTTGGCTAAACAGGATGAACAGGAAAAGTTATTTTATATCCTTTTAAAAACATAATTAAATATTTAATGTTGTCCCATAACAAAAATATAAATAATGCAAAGAACTGTTTCTCTGTGAATAACCCCTTGCACTTTATTTTAAAATGAAGACGGCAATATAAAGAAATCTATGACTTAATTGTAAAGTATCTTCATATCCCATGCAGTTATGTGGCTTTGGTGTATGGCAGAGGCAGATATGTCTTTCCTGGACCAGGACTGATGCATATTACAAAATTAACTAAGCCTCGGATCCTGCCCCAGTACATAGCACAAGCAACTGGGCCGTACACTGGGGAATCCCACCCAGCTGATGAAGTGGATACTAGCTATTGTACAACCTTCTCCCTGTCCTCTGCGGAAGGAATGATTGATAGATACATGTAGCAGTGAATCCACTAGCCTCACACTTCCCCTCCCTCAATCTGCCCCCACACAGCTGCTGCACAGCAACAGCTGGGTTGTACACCATGCAGGAGCGCCTGCACAAATTTTGTCCCCCACCAAACCATGTGTGGTTGAATGGCCTAGTTCCTCCACTGGCCAGATCCTTTATGCTTGTAGAGAGAGGGACAGGATTTGGCCGTTCGTTCCTATTTTCATATTGTTTTGATTTAAGGAACACTGTGATTTGTGCCCTTATAAATAAATGAGCTCAGCTCCCCTGGTGTAACTTGGCCCTGGAGCTGACCAGGGGTGAGTCTGGAGAGTTATGAGCCAGCACTGATTGACGTGCTAAGAGAAATGCTCTGTGAATTGTTTGAAAAATGATTCTGTCCAGCAAATACTAGCCCATAAAATCTGACTGAAATTAAGGGAAGGATTTGCTGGTAATTACTAGTTTCAACAACCCCCCTCGAAATTTTCATTCTGCTTTATCTCTGGTTATCGGCATTGTACTGCTCCTTCTCACCGTCACACAGTGGAGCTGTGGGAGATTGACAGCAGAGAGAGCCAACATAATCGCCTACATATCTCTTTAAAATGTTGGTGGTCAGGAACTGATTATGGCACCAATTTATTTATTTAATTTATAAAATGCACCCAGCACATCTCTTAATAGCATGTATGATTAACAAAACACATAACTATACAAGAGTCAGAAAAAAAAAAGGCTTGGCTCCCGCCTTTTAAATTACTCATTAGCTGACCGAGATCCTTTCTCTCATGTAAAAGCCACAGAAAAAAGTTGGATCTTGAACTGTGATCTAAAGTTGTACAAACTCTGGCTTTGTCAGACCAGCAGGAGAAACAATTTACAAATTTTAGGGACAGACCTTAATTGCATGCCCCTTAACTAAATCTATAATATGCCTCAGCTGGGTCAGGGTTATGGGTGAGGTGTGAAAAGGAAGGAAAGAAAACAGTCTGGTTTTGAGAATGCTGGGTGAGTTTGCTGGGTTGGTAATTAAAGAAACAAAATGTACTTGGAAAAAAATGAGCAAATTTGATCTGGCGTCACTGGGAGACAATAAACGTGGGATCCCATGATTCTACTTTTATAATAAATTTTCAGAGAAGATCCTCATCTTAATGGGTCATAAGAGGACAAAAGTTTAAAACAAGTTATGTCATTGATCAGGGTTTTCTTTTTGATCTAGGCCATGAATTAATGAGTATATAATTCTTTTCTCTTTTATCTAAGATATGCTTACTCAAATTTTTTAAAATATTATCAGATCAAGGGAGAAGCAGCAACCCTAATCCAGTGGGAAAAATAGTTTTGTCCAGGTCAAGTTATCCATTGACTATCTCTCACAAATTGTATGGCGACAGAAAATGAAGGATGAAAATGGTAGAATACAGAACAAAAAATCCCTCTTCGGAGAAAATGCAGAAAAAATAAAAATAATGGTATTTGTATAAAAGCAACATTTCAACACTGTAGTTGGAGTAAAAAAAAAACCCAAACAAATCCCCAAACTCATGAAACCAATGAGGCTATCAAATCATTCAAAATAATACATCAATAAACAAGCACACAGTGGGTCTGATCCAAAGCTCATTAAAGTCAAATGGGAGCCTTTCAATTGACTTCAATAAGCTATGGATCAAGCCACATAATATCAACAGCTAAGATCTCCTGAAAAAAGTAAACAATGAAAATGAATCTTCCTTTTTTATTAGTTAGATTCCATCTTAACAACTCATTATTGATATGACTTTGCAGTGTTCTTTACTAACCAACTAACCCACTTTATGACTTTTCCCTCCTCCTTGCACATTCTGCATGCATGATGTGATACTAGGATGAATCTGGCCATCTACAGCCTGATGCATTTAAAGCCTGCCTCATCAGTCTAGGACAGGTTGGAAATGACCTACAGGTAGAGAAAACTAACATATTACTATTTTCAAATAGACTGGTATAATACTAGCCTAAAGAGACCTGGGTTTAAACTCAAATGTAGCTGATTTTAAAAATGTTTGCATTTTGCTGCTTTTGTGTGATCCAAGGTAGTCTACTTGGATTCTAATGAGCCACAGTGGGTCACTGCTGCCTTTTCCATCACACACTCATGTTGCCCATTGTCTCCTGCTCATACTTCCAAGCAGGAGCCCTCCCTCTCCCTCAAGGAGGACCCATGACACCAGGGTTCCTCACTGGCTATTTGGGTGTTCTTAGTACACATAGACCTTTGCCCATCTCTTCTACCACTACCCCATTTTAAGGTCCACTCTGTGCAATTAGCCATGAATGCCCCACTCACCCTGCTGCTGAGAATATGGGCATCCTCCTTTAATAAGAGATCTGCCATTGACCAACTTCTGTTGGATACAAAACAGTACACTTTTCCTCCATCGACCCCACTGGTTAATATCTCTATTGTACTCAGAGTCCCATTAACTAGAGATCAGAGGAGAGAGAATTCTTGAATTCACTTCCCATGTGGCAGCACACAGCTCAGTGTGCCTTGGCTCTGGAGTACAATATTTTCAAAATGCAAACATTTCTAGACTGCTAGTCACTAAAAAGTATTATAGTTTCTAATAAACCTTCCAATACTGAAACCTAAAAAGTATGGTGTATCACAATGAACCAGCCTGCCTTTCCTGACTTTGGCTAGTTCAGTGACAAACTTTTCTCCTTGCCTCTCTCTCCTTTCTGGTTGTGCGCTGTCTGTTCATATGTTGTACTCAACCCACCCTTTTTTGGTATCATTCTCTGTGGTGTGTCTGTTTCATGTGCGTTATCTGTTAGCTACTTCTTCCTCCTTTAAATTGATGGTGCTCCTCATGACCTGCTTTGGCAATACCTCCAATGAACATCCTCTCGTTCCATGGATCCAATCTTCTGATGATGCACATTTGTCATCTCTATGGAAATGGTGATGGTCTCCTGCCTGTCTTTGATATCTCAAACCTTCCCTCATATATTCCTGATGCTACTTGGATCAATAGAAGAAGAATGGGCTGATGGACCATGATGATTTCAGAGCTTGCTTAATTTCAATGGGTTATGATTTGGTATGAATTTTAAGATACAATGAAATTGGTTTTGCATATCGGTAATAATGCTAACCCCGTCAGCATTAAAGGTTACTATAGTTTGCACATACTACAAACAATAATATTTACACTTTGCCTATCAATTCCAATTTTTTTCTATACTTTAAAAAGGTGGTAAACATTAAAAGTAAAAATATACCCCCTGAAGACACCTATTTTATGGTTTGATGCATTTAGCTTTGATTTATGAAGTATATTCCATGAAATTTACATTGTATCAAATAAATATACAATTAAGTCCTTTCAGTTTATAGATATATAAATTAGCTTTTTGTCTGCATGAGAGAGAATTATTCTGAGGCTTTTTAATACTCCTAATTCTTGAAAGCAAACTGCAGGGTTGAGATTTATTTATTTAAGATCTCTACATTTTTCATTCCCTTGTTACTGAAAAAAAAATCTTAGGAGTAAATTTAATTGTTGCCATGTATTAGGGAGATTATTTTAATAATTGTTTCTGCCAAATGTAGATACCATAATAACAAAGTGTATGTTAATTGCTAAGAAAGGCCCCAATCCTGCAAGCTGCTCTGTGCGGGTCAAAGCCTCTTTAATGTCATTGTCGTATCACACTGATGCAAGGGTCCATCTGTGCAGAGTTAATTTTTATTCATATACTTCAATGGGAGCAAGATCAGATTTAGAAGAGATGATAGTATCAATTTATTCTTTGAACATGTGAATTTAACATATCTTTGAATAGAATAGAGAAACCAGTATGACATTGAGCAGAATTGAACATGAATTGAACGCTTTGCATTAAAGTAACAGCTCAGTTTAGGCCCCAAATTTAGATTCTGTTTGAAAAAATGTGTGAGGGGGCACTTTTCAAATGTAATAAGAATCAAAATGTTTTCATTACTTTTGAATATGTTTAACCATTCCTCGTCAATGTTGTCCCAAATGCAACAGCCTTGTTATGGTAGTGCAGAAAGTGATACAAATTATAAAGAGAAAGTGAAACCTCTGGAGACTAGTTATACTGTACAAAGGAAGAGAAATGGAAAAGATAAACAAACCTTTCACTCCATTTGTAACAAGGGAGACGCTGGTGTATGAATGTGTATCATATACCCATGCAGCTTCACTTACCCTGGTCAAGGCCAAGGACTCAGTGCAACTTAAGTTCAGCATATGCTGATTAAGTGCTTTGCTGGACTGAGGCGAGAGTGCTCAGCTCTTTTCAGGACTGAGCCGCTAGTAGGAGAGGAGCTTGATAGAGTGCTAAAAACAGAGAGAAGATTTTTTAAATAAAGGATTAAGTCAAAACTATATCATGTCACTATTTTTAAAAAAGATGGAAATTAATGATCTATTAAAAATAATTTAGATTTAGTGTAGAAAATATTTCAGGAAGCAGAAAGTTAATTGAAGGGCACATACCATGCTTTTAGGACATTTTCAAAAGTGCCTAAATCCCATTTTCAAGAGTGATGTAGGAACTTTTGCTCCTAAGTCCTATTGACTTTCAGTCACATTTAGGCTCCTAAGTAAATTTTGAAAATGAGACTTAGGCTTCTGAGTCACTTAAGTATTTTTATAATTTTTACCCAGAGCCTCTAGTAGTATGTCATAGAGATACATTATGTTGAAGTTTGGTTTTACAGTTACTGTCTTTTTCTTTTTGAATTTCGTCAAAGGGTGAGGCAGAGTTTGCCCGAATTATGTCCCTGGTTGATCCCAATGGGCAGGGAACTGTCTCTTTCCAGTCCTTCATTGATTTCATGACCAGAGAGACTGCGGACACAGACACAGCTGAGCAAGTCATAGCTTCTTTCAGAATCCTAGCTTCAGATAAGGTCAGTCCTTTTGTTCCTAGCTGTAAGGAATTCCCTGTATTTCAATAGCAGTGTTGTTTAACCTTCCTTTGATGAAAGTCTTACACAAAATGTCTAGTATATCTAGGGTCTGTTTTTCATTAAGAAGACTAAAGCGCTCACCATTCATTCTTGTGGTACTGGTTTGTACTTCGACCCAAGCTTCTAACAGGAATGTGAGTGGAATTCAAAGCTGGGTCCTTATTCCTTCACATCACAAAGAACTAACATAACATGTAGATAATGGCACAGAGAGTACACTTATAAAGTTTGCGGATGATACCAAGCTGGGAGGGGTTGCAAGTGCTTTGGAGGATAGGATTAAAATTCAAAATGATCTGGAGAAATGGTCTTAAGGAAATAGGATGAAATTCAATAAGGACAAATGCAAAGTACTCCACGTAGGAAGGAACAATCAATTGCACACATACAAAATGGGAAGATTACTGTGGAAAGGGATGGGGGTCACAGTGGATCACAAGCTAAATGTGGTCAGTAGTGTAACACTGTTGCAATAAAGTGAACATCATTCAGGGATGTATTAGCAGGAGTGTTGTAAGGAAGACACAAGAAGTAATTCTTCTGCTCTACTTCACACTGATAAGGCCTCAAGTGGAGTATTGTGTCCAGTTCTGGGTGCCACATTTCAGGAAAGATGTGGACAAATTGGAGAAAGTCCAAAGAAGGGCAACAAAAATGATTAAAGGTCTAGGAAACATGACCTATGAGGAAAGATTGAAAAAATTGGGTTTGTTTAGTCTGGAAAAGAGAAGACTGAGAGGGGACATGATAACAGTTTTCAAGTACATAAAAGGTTGTTACAAGGAGGAGGGATAAAAATTGTTCTTGTTAACTCCTGAGGATAGGACAAGAAGCAATGGTCATAAATTGCAGCCAGGAAGGTTTAGGTTGGACATTAGGAAAAACTTCTTAATGGTCAGAGTGGTTAAGCACTGAAATAAATTGCCTAGGGAGGTTGTGGAATCTCCATCATTGGAGATTTTTAAGAACATGTTAGACATACACCTGTCAGGGTTGGTCTAGTTATTATATAGTCCTGTCTTGAGTGCAGGGGACTGGACTAGATGACCCATTGAGGTCCCTTCTAGTCCTACACTTCTATGATTCTCTGATAAGATAAGATGCACTGAATAGTTTTTGCTCAGCTGACACAGCTGCATATACAGTGGTCGTGCTCTGCTCATGCATATCCATGGAACAGTATTGATTTAAGGGGGGTAAAATCCTCTTCATAAACCCTTTTCTGACTTCCATGGCATTGCCTGGGTGTGGCTGAGATGAGAATTTTGGCTGAGCAAAATACCGTGGGGTGATATGGAGCTGCCTCCCCCAGGAGAGTTCTGGGAAGCACTATCCTTCCTTCAGCCACTGGGCACATACAGGGAATGAAATTGCTGCACATCTCCCAAGGAATGTGGAGCATATTCTCCTCTCCACAGCCAGCTCTGCTGGCCAGGGCAATGCAAGAGTAGGAGTTGAGGAACGTGCGATAGGGAAGAAAAGTGTTTCATAACTCACTCCCTTTTGGAGTAGTCTGTGACTGTGTCCCAGAGAGTGCTGCCAGCAAGCAGTTCTGTGCTCAGGCGAGAACAGGACTGCAATACCACGGGGCAGACTCAGTCTGGCCCCTGATACTGATTTCGTGATCTCGACTAATAAGGACTAGACTTTGAATTCCAAACACATTTCAAATAGGAGTTTGTGCTGAAGATCAAACCAAATTCCCAAGAAAGTGAGATATGAACATTTTGCTGTTGTTTTAAATTTTAAATAATGTCACAGGTGTCCAGAGTGGCAAATAGGTGCTTTTTTATGTCATTCTAAATTGAAAGCAGTAATTATTATAATAAAAATCTTTGTCTAGAAACTTATTATAATATTGAAGTCAACGGTGTATAACTAAGGCTAGACTTTGACCCTGTCTATTTGCTGAGAGGATTATTCCTACCAGCTAATGGTTGAAGTTATGACTCAGCAGGAGAAATATTCTTGGTTAGGCAGGAAGTCCTAGTTTATTAATATTAGGTCTATAAGATACACAAATAAAAATCTGTTAAATAATCTGTTCTGTATCTGGGTTTTTTAAAAATAACTTTTTTTTCAGCCTTATATTCTTGCCGAGGAGCTGCGGAGAGAACTGCCTTCTGAACAAGCTCAGTATTGCATCAGAAGAATGCCTGCCTACTCTGGTCCAGGTGCTGTTCCTGGAGCTCTGGATTATACCTCATTTTCATCAGCATTGTATGGAGAAAGTGACCTGTAATTCACTAATTGGCTGTACTCATTGTCTGCATTGGAAAAAACAACAACCCTGATTTCCCAGTTTGCTTCTTGAAAGCTTTGACAAAATGATTTAAAAATGATTTTTACTAATATAGTAGGTACATTCAGTGTCGAATATTAGGAATGCAAATAACTAGCATATATTTCAGTGTGCAGCACTAGTAGGTATCTGAATTGATGGTATTAGTTTATCTGGCCTATATATTATTAAAATGTATTTTAAAGAAAAGATGAATCACTAATTTAAAAAATATATTAAATTTGAGACCCATTCAGATAAAAGAAATTAAAGCTTGTGAAAATAGAAACTATCAAGACTAACAAAATATTTTGCCATTTTCAAAAATTCTTCATCCCATATATCCTGCTTTTACTATGTTCATAGAGCTCCATGTTAGAAGTCATACTTTTTTCTTTCATATAAAAATATTACTTTACAGATTTTATGGTTTTATATGCTTCCACAGGTGGAGTTTAATAAAATAAACAATGCAACTTTTCAGAGAAGAAAAATACCCATCAAGTAAAATACTTAACCACTAAAATAATCCCAAACTGTATTTTTATATCTTTTAAAGGTTGTTTTCTATTAACACAGAGCTGTAACATCAGAAGCATAATCCTGCAAACTCATAATAATTATAATCGTAATACCTTGTAATAAATCAACAAGCAGTACTTTTCCTTTTAAGCCTTTTACTTTGCAACTGAGAGAGCAAAACTTTCACAATCAGGAAATAGTAAGGAAGCTAATACATGTAAGTTGTATTATTTTGAAACCCTCAGTCATGTCTATTTTGAATAGATTCTTTGTTTTCCACTGTGTGAAAGCCAGTTCTTTGTTTTAGTGAACAACCTGCATCATCCCACGAGATGCAAAATCCTATCTGAACTAGCTGAGTATGGTTGTGTTGCAGTTTTAACTGTATGTCACATACAGAATTCAGATTATAGTTTGTCTTCACTTCTGTTGAATGGCAGTTCTGCTACCATATGCTAGTTTGTTTTACCGGAGTCATGCTTCCATCTTGACAACCTGTAGAGAAGTAAAGCAATCACTTTTTTACTTGAATCTTAACTGACACTGAAAAATGCAATGTAACCAAACAAAACATTCACAAATGGTGAAGTTGTGAACTGTACAATCCAGTGCTACTAAAGCAATGATGTGCCTACTAAATAAACTCTGCTTTTCAAAACTTCATGAAGGTTCAGTCATTGAGATTCATCTAGTGTTTCCTCTAAAGAACCAGAAATTTTTCTATGCATTAAATAGATTTCTCCATTTGCTTAAAAGAGTAAACATTCCATGCATTATCCCAGTTGGAACAATGCACACAACATTGCTGGAGTCAGTGTCTTGGCTGGCTAACAAATTAATTGGTATGGGGCAGCTATGATCTAGTGCAGAGGTGGGCAGACTATGGCCCGCGGGACCCTCCTGCCCGGCCCCTGAGCTCCTGTCCCGGGTGGCTAGCCCCAGGCCCCTCCCCTGCCGTTCCCCCTCCCCAGCAGCCTCAGCTCACTGCGCCGCCGGCGCAATGCTGTAGGTGGCGGGGCTAGCTCACTGTGCCGCCGGCGCAATGCTCTAGGTGGCGGGGCTGTGAGCTCTTGCCCGGCAGCGCAGCTGCAGAGCCGGCCTGACCTGGTGCTCTGGGCGGCATGGCTGTAGCGCCACCAGACACCGGTGCTCCAGGCAGTGCGGTAAGGGGGCAGGGAGCAGGGGGGGTTGAATAGAGGGCAGGAGAGTTCGGGGTGGTGGTCAGGGGGCGGGGGTGTGGATAGGGGTCAGGGTGGTCAGAGGGCGGGTAACGGGGGGTTGAATGGGGGCAGGGGTCCTGGGCAGGAGCAGTCAGGAAGGAAATGGGGGATTGGATGGGGAGGGTGGTGGGAAATCAGGGGCAGGGGTTCTGGGGGCAGTCAGGGAGAAAGGGTGGTTGGATGGGGTAGGGGTCCCAGGGAGGCAGTCAGGAAGGAGAGGAGGGGTTGGATAGGGCAGCAGGGAGCAGTCAGGGGTGGGGGGTCTCAGGGTCGTCAGGGAACGGGGGGGTTAGATGAGTCAGGAGTCCCGGGGGGCCTGTCGGGGCGAGAAGAAGGGGGGGTTGGATAGGGGGCGGTGGCTGGGCCACGCCTGGCTGTTTGGGGAGGCACAGCCTCCCCTAACCGGCCCTCCATACAATTTCAGAAACCTGATGTGGCCCTCAGGCCAAAAAGTTTGCCTGTCCCTGATCTAGTGGCTTAAGGCCAGGGCTGGGAGTGAATAGAACTGGGTTCTGTTCCCTACTCTCTGCCTTGGGCAAGTACCTTAACCCGTCTGTACCATTATTTTTTTTTTCACTTGTAAAAGGTAGATGATGCTTATCCACCTTGATGAACTGCTTTGAAATCTATAGATGAGAAGCGCTATATAAGTGCTAAGAATGATCACGTCTTTATTTGATTTTAATACTTGGATACTATGGAATTTCCCAGACTGCTAGCCAAATGAATGCTCAGGAGACTGTACAGCTGAATCCTGTTGAAAAGATCCATTACAGTATATCCCATGTTCACTGTTGTATGCGAATGAACAGTGTGTCTGTAAACCAGTGAGCTTCCAAATTAGGCACAGGCATGGAAACAAAATCTCTGTTTTACAGAAACAGAGTTATACTGGACATTTTAATGCAAAGACAGTTCAGTGTAGTGATAACTGGCACTTCCACAAGCTACAACATTCTTTACATGCAGCTGAGTGCTGCTCCAAAAGGCATGACATTCTTCCCTAGCTTTGAAAGCACTGAAACATTCGTTCTTTCATCCGAATGTTCCACTGATCAGGATAAGCAAGGAATAAAGCCATCAGCACCAGTAGGAAATAGCATTTGTAAAATAATTTTTGATCCATGGAGCAAGTCTGTAGTGTCCAAAGAAAACAGCAAGCAGAACTAGCCTTAGAGCGCCCGGTAACCTACAAGAGAAGAGATTTAATGCCCCATCCAAACCTACCTAAAGATTTTATACTGTATTTGTCACCTTGCTGTTCCTTACATTTAAAAAAAATATAAAGTTTCTCTCCCTCTCCATGTTTATTTACGGAAACCAAAGTTAAATAATTGAGTTCTGTATTTTGTTCTGAAGGGGGAGAAATTTGTGGTCTTTTTGATATTTTCTGGGAGTGAGTTCCAGAGTGGTGGGACAGCCAGTGAGCAAGCGCTGTCCATTGTGCTCACAAGCCTTCACTTTTGTGCCTGAAAGTTGCATTGTTCTACTGAACCACTTTGTTTACACTTGGGGCTGGTGGCTGAATTGGCATTTGCTGACTGTCATGCTCTGATTAGATCCATCCCAGATTCCTTGGTGTAATGACCTGCAATATTCAACCCTAGAGTTCATGGATCATTATGGCCAAAGTGGGGGCTGTCGCAGAGTGTGGGGGACTGAGGGCCCTGTACCCCCGGCTTCCTGCGATTCCCCATGACTCTCAGCCAGCCAGTAAAGCAGAAGGTTTATTTAGACGACAGGAACACAGTCCAAGACAGGTCTTGCAGGCACAGACAACAGGATCCCCCTCAGTTAGGTCCATCTTGGGGTCCCCAGGCACCCCAGCCCCCTTGGGAGGTCAGAGCCCCGTCTGCCTCCCAGCCATATCACCAGCCAGCTCCTGAAAACTCTCCCTTCAGCGACCCCTCCCACAGCCTTTGTTCAGTTTCCCGGGCAAAGGTGTCACCTGGCCTCTAACCCCTTCCTGGGTTCTCATGTTACATGCTCAGGTATTCTCCATCGGTCAGTCTCCCATCCCCCAATGCAGACTATCCTAGCCACACTCCCCTGTCAGCATTCAAAGACCACAGTAGGAACAGTCCCAGTTCATCACAGGGGCAAACATCTTAATGAGTTTTAAGACTGAGTTTGTTAAATTTGTGAATGGTATTAGATGACGGGGTTGCCTGTAACAGCAGGGGACTGGAGTCGGCGACCCAGGAGGTCCTTTCCAGCCCTATGTTCCTACATTAAAGTGGGATACGATAGAGCAGAACCAGTCTTCCACTCAGTAGTGGGTGCTAGAGGATGTTTTTAACACCCATGGATATTGTGAATTAGTGAGGAGTCGAGAAAGACTCCAAGGCTGTAGACTGTCTTAACAATTCTAGGGCAGAGTCCCTCAATGGAGGTGATGTTATGGACATGGCCAGTTATTTGAAGCACATCTCTCTTCCAACAGCATTGCCTCCATTTGTCCTGGTTCATTTTCAGCCAACTATTCTTCAGCCAGGTGCTGACAGCACCCAGGCACTGGGGTATCTAGGAGACAGTAATGTCAGCTTTTGAGGTTAACAAAATGCAGAGCTGATGTTGTCTGCCTATCGCCTTTAATAGGGATTCCAGAAGCTCTTGTTTTCTTATTCACTAGCCACAAAAGGGCTGAATCAGAGATGCCAGTAGTGGTTAGTGGCTTGTATTTCCATTAGAATATCCAGGACTTCATGTTGTTCCAAACTTTTGGAGGGATTGTACTGTTATTGATTACATACTCAACTTGCTCCTGGTGTCTGCGCAGACCATTCCACGTACAGGTGATGTAATGAAGAAGGAGATAATTCCTCAGAGCAGTTGATTTCTGATGCTAGGTGGAGGCATTCTGGTTTATCACAAAGTTTGTGGTTCAGAATAATTCTATGGGGCATGACTTTGCTGCTATTACTATGGAATCAACAGTATAAGCGTATGCACTTATGAGCTCACTTCCCACATTGGTGACAATGTTTCTCCATGTGCTTTTAAGATCAGCTCTGACAATAAGTGGACTTAATAAACAAGGGACATCCATAAAGGAAGAAGAGCTCTGTGTGTCTCGAAAACTTGTCTCTCTCACCGACAGAAGTTGGTCCAATAAAATATATATTACCTCACCCATCTTGCCTCTCTACTGTCCTTTAAGAATGACTCACAGAAGTACAGATCCCTGTCCAGGCTGCTAGGGGTAAATCATTTTATTCTCCTCTAACCTGTTTTTCTTCTCTTCTCAATCCCATTTTTCTCTCAGCTCTGCCTCCACTGTCTGTTGCCTCCTATCCCTACCCCTAATTGCCTGTCCTACCCAACTTCACACACATGAAGCAGCTTTTGCTTCAAAACATTTGGAAGTAACCGGAGATAGTGGCCATTAAGGAGTGAAGAAAACCCTCCACACAATCACTACAGCTATTTCTGTGCTCATGAACAATTTTCAAGAAGAGTTTAAAATGTGGAGACCTGGCACATTAAGCCTTAGAACAAACCAAACAAACTATACAGGCTCAAAGTCTTCATAAAGGAAAGGAAGACTTCTATAAAACACTCTTTCCCAATATACTCCTTAATAAGATATAGTCAGGGGTGAAAGTAACTTAAAGGACTTGCCGGTATGCAGGGCGGCCGGGGTCCTGGGCAAGGTTGGGGGGCGGCTCTGGGCCCCCGGAAGGAGCAGGGCCTCGGGCAGAAGGGGCAGGGCTGGGGCCAGACTCCCCCAGTCAGCCCTTCAGCGCTGCCTGGCCCGTGCCACCCAGTGAGCCCCGATGCATCTGCCCTTCTCCCCCACCCCCCGTCAGCTGCCCTGCCGGTGCAGTGCTTAAAGCACTGCCGTGGCAGCGTTTTTACATCAGCCATGTACCAGCCCGTACCGGCTTACTTTCACCTCTGGATATAATACAGGATTGCACATCTGTAGAACACAAGGATACAAAGGAAGAAATCAAAATAAGGCCCTGGTCTTGGAAGATGTTCCACACAAGCTGATGCCTTCTTCCCATGCAGAACAGGTTACAGGGTCTGGTCCAAAAATTGCTGGTCAGTCAAGGAAAATCATGTTAATTGAGATGGTAGTGTGGTAATGTACAAGGCACTGGACTGAGTGGGGGGGAAACTCTATTCTAAGCCCATCACTGCCACTAACATGCTGTGTGACCGTGGGCAAGTCCCTTCCCCTTTCTGTGCCTCTGTTTCCCCTCTGTCTTGTCTAGTCACATTGTAAGCTGTTCAGGGCAGGTATTGTCAGTCTCTCACTTTGTGTTTGTATAGTGCCTAGCCCAAAGGGGTTCCAATCTCAGTTGGCCTCTAAATGCTACTGTAGTACAAATTTATAAATAACAAACTGAAACCCAAACAGTGTCAGTGGTGCCAACTCTTGTGATATTTGCTGTGTTCTTTAAAAAGATACGCAGCTTCTGGAATCATGGAATTATC